TGCTCTGCCAAACCTCCTTTTATTCTGTTTCGGGGAACATCAAGCATCTTGTGGGTCGTGCTGTGTTGCAGAGTGTTAGAACCATACAGCACGGAAATGGACCCTTCAGTTCAACTCGTCCATGCTGACCAGGTTTCCCTAACTAGTCCCATTTGCCTGCGTTTGGCCTAAAACCCTCTAGACCTTTCCTATCCATGTACCTGTTGAAATGTCTTTTAAATGTTGTAATTACTATATCCTCTGGTAGTTTATTGCACACACTGACATCTTCTGTGTGAAAAAGTTGCTTCTCAAGCCACTTTTAAATCTTACCCCTCTCACCTTAAACCAATGCCCCCTAGTTTTGAACTCCCCCACGGTAGGGGAAGGACCTTTGCTTATCCATCATATCAATGCTCCTCATGATTTTATAAACTTCTATAAGGCCAGCCCTCAACCTCTGACGCTTCAAGGAAAAAAGTCCCAGCATTGTTTTTGGATCCAATCCCTGGGGAGGGGGTCAAGCCCAGGGCTCTCCGGTCAGCTCCAGTAGAAGGGGAAAAAGAGTCAGATCCTGGGGGTGTAGTTGGTAATGTGTGTGGGAAGTTGGGCTTCAGTTGAGCAGTTACTCTGGAATTAGAAGTAACTATTTAATAGTCTAGCTTTTCCTGAGTAACTATTGATCCGAATAGTTCAGAACCCTCTGAATTCCCAGATTTTAAGTGTATGCTTTTGGAATTTTCCAGCATTGAGGGGATTGGCCAGAAGAACCTTCAGTTTTCTGTGTTAAGTACATCATGGCTTTGACAGGGTCCCCATGCACAACACCCATCTACGCTGCAGAAACGACTATCAGCCATAGAGTCATAGAGATATACAATATGGAAACAGACCCTTCGGTCCAACTCGTCCATGCCGATCAGATCCTAAATAAATCTAGTCCCATTTGCCAGCATTTGGCCCATATCCCTCCTAAGACCTTCCTATTCTTATACCTATCCAGATGCCTTTTAAATGTGTAATTGTATCAGCCTCCTCCACATGCTCTGGTAGCTCATTCCATACATGCACCTCTGCGTGAAAAGGTTGCTCCTTAGGTCCCTTTTAAACCTTTCCCCTCTACCTTAAACCTATGCGCTCTAGTTTTGGATGCCCCTACCCCAAGGAAAAGACCTTACCTATTTACACTATCCATGCTCCTCATGATTTTATAAACCTCTAATAAGGTCACCCCTCAGCCTCCGACATTCCAGGGAAAATAGCCCCAGCCTGTTTGGCCTTTCCCTATAGCTCAAACCCTCCAAGCTTGGCGATATTCTGGTATATCTGTTTTGAACCCTTTCAAGTTTCACAACATCCTTCTTATAGTAGGGAGACCAGAATTGCACATAACACTCCAAAAGTGGCCGAATCAATGTCCTGTACAGCCCTTTGGAAAACCTGAGCTTATACAATTGCTTCATTTTAAAGACCCAGCACTTAGTTTAGAACTGAGACCCCCTGAAGCTATGATTTCAGTTTTTGGTTTGAAATGTTACCCTCTCCATTGGCTGTTCGCCAGCTTGGTGATTGAGCTTTGTGTCACTTATTTCTTGTCAAGTTGCATTTTCTTCATGCGGTATTGTCGAGTGTAACAATGTAATTTTGGACAATCTCATGTCGCCGGTTTGCTACCTCCCCATGATGCTTAATGATTTTAAATATACCCGGTACAGCCCTTGTTGATATTTTTGATGTGTACAATCTGTAATTCTGACCAAATAAAGGGCTTGTTAATTGCACTGTCATTACTCTTTGATCTCACGCAGACGCTAACTCTGAGACATTCTGACGCCGAAGTCTAACTCGAACTGTTGTTCTCCGGGTGGTTACCTAACTCTAGAGCCAGTCCCAAAAAAACCTATTTCCATAACATGCAAAGTGCTTTGAGGTATTTCGGTGATATCTTGAGCTGCTACTTATCTTAACTTCTCCTGTTTTGAAATAACTGGATTTTAGCTCAGTTCTACCGAGCTGCGATAAGCTTAGATGTTGAGTGTTAATAGATAATCTTTCAGAGAAAGGCGGTGAACAGTTGGTATTGCTGTAATGATACTGTTGAGTTGCTACATTGTGGTTTCAGCATTGTAGTTGAGATTGTTTATGCTGTCACCGCAGGTGGTTTAAAGGAGTTCATATCTAACAATTAACTCACTCATGTAGGATCAGAGACCATTAATAATGTTTATTTTTGGAGGCTGTGTCTCTGCGGGATACTAAAGGATTCACCCAGTCCAGTCCCTGCACTTCTCTTATTGACTCTAAGCAGGCTTCGATTTGCAGAGTTTTAACGTGTAGATTGATGGCTTTTTCTAATAATATGATTTACTTTGTCCTGGCTTTAGATTCATACACAAGACTTGGCCATCTCAATGGATGTAGGTGCCCAGTACCTTAAGCAAGTACCACCAGCTTCTGCCAAAGTGGCATTCAGGGTGCTTTAATGAGGTAGGGAGGAAAGGGGTTCAAGTTTAATTGAATTAGAAGAAGGTCCAGTGAGATACTGAAGACATTGTTGAAGAGGCAGACATATTACACACCATCTACTGCACACCGTCAAGAGTTCTTGTGTAGTAATAACGTCCAAACCTCTGGACAAAGTGACCCAGGGATCAAGTCCCACCTGCTCTGGAGGTGTGCAATTAAAATCTCTCAACAGGATGATTTGACAATATCTACTTCCTCCTCAAAATTGGCTAATGAATCTGAATCTTATTTCTTTGGAGAATCTCTCATGGGCAGTGGTAGTGTCCATACCTCCAGGTAGTGGTTTGGGTTCAAGTCCCACCTGCTCCAGAGGTTTGTCATAACATCTGAACAGGTTGATTAAAACATCTACAGTACATAAACAGCTAATTTGATCAAACTGGCCCATGCTGGTTTTTGAGCTCCACATGAACCTCTTTCATGTAACTCTATCAGTATAGCTCTGTATTTCTTTATCCCTCATATATTGGTGTAGCTTCCCCTTAAATGTACCTATGCAATTCATCTCAACTACTTGTAGTGGTGGAGTGTTCTTACTGAATGTACTGGTGACTGTCTTATATTTATATTCATCTAGTTTTTGCACACGTGCACACGCACACGTGTAGACATATTTCACATGTGCATAACCTCTCAAAAACCTTCATTTTAAAGACCTCAATTGAAGTCATCCCACCCACAGCCTGCCTTTTGAGGTCTTGCCTGTTCAGCCTTTCCTGATAAGTATATCATCTCCATTCTGGTGTCATCGTTCTTGTACATTTTGTTTAATATGAACACAAGAAGGATGCACAATATCAATCTCAAATTTGAAAGTTTCAATCAATTTTTGGACACTGAGTTACAAAGTTCCTCTAATCTGTCTGTCTGTTTCCTGATGCACAACAACACACCTGCATGCTTATGTTAAACTCTCAGGTTGCACATCACCATCTGATTGTCAACTGGAGGAGCCTGATCTTTGAAACATCGTATAGAGTATGTAGATGGGGTAAATTAGATCATTACTGTGATAGTCCAATCAAATTAAGCATCGCTATTTTGTTCAATTCATAGCAAGATTGTTTTTAAGACAGAATTCACATGTGCTGCAAACTTTCTAAACATTGTTGAACAGTGCACTGTATTAGCATGTATTAGTAACTGACGATTTGCAAAATGCTGTATCTGTATTGACATGAATTGGCTGCAGAGGGCAGCAGAGAAACACTCTGGAACATAAACAGACAACAAAAGCGTGTTTTCTAACCACTCTAAATTCAATGCTGATGACATGAAGCAAGATTACTGTAAGTTTCTCAGGAGTTGGAATTGTTCAGTTTATCCAGAGGGCCTCCGCTCCGGGAAACATGGGCTCGCTGTGAGAAGATTCTTCTTTATGAATGAAGCAACGTTACTGAGTGATGTCACTGGTCTGGTAGCATTTTGCAGACGATTTTGAAGGGGGGCAGAGACACGGAAGGGTGAGCTATGAAGGTGAGAGGTTTTGTTTGGAAACCTCCAGGTGAGGGCCGTGTTGCTGAAGGTAGAGTGGGTGTCATGCGTGATGAAGGGGATGCAGCATTACAGACTCAAAGAGATGAAGGTGCAAATGGGTTGTAGAAGTCAGGCAGTGTATAGCCACTGGTAACTAGGAGAAGATGCACTGTGTAAGTAGTGAGGGCATGCAGTGCAGAAGGCATCAATGGCTGGCATAATATGGATGAGCAGGGCTGTATGTGGGAAAGGATACAAATGTACAAATTAAGAGCAGGAGTTGACCACTCATCCTGGTGAGTCTGCCGGCCTTTCAATATGATCATAGCTGGTTTGATTAGTCTGATTTCTGCCTACTCCTGATAATCTTTCACTCCCCTTTTTTTTTGAAAGTCAAGAATCTATTTACCTTTGCCTGAAAACTAATTGAGGACTGTGTTTCCATTACTTTATTGAAGAAGAGAGATGTTACTAATGGGTCACAATCCTGGAAGTCCCTCCCTAAGGGCATTGTGGGTCTACCAACAGCACATGGGCTGCAGCGGTTCATGGAGTCAGTACAATGCCACCTTCTTGAGGGCAGGTAGGGGGTGGCCAATAGATGCTGGCTCAACCAGGGACACGTATGAGCCACGAGTGAATTTTAAAAAATAATGCAGTGATGGAGTTTGTGTGGTCTGGAGACCATGAGGAGTGAGCTGCACACTAGGGCAGACTGTGTGTCAGTTAACCCTTCTGTGCTTGAATGACAAAACGAATCTGCTGATCCAAGTCTCTAAGTACTAATATTGTTAATAGGTGATATACTGTTGGACCACCATAAAACCGTGTTGGAAGGTGCACAATCAAAACCTGGGGCAACTTTGCCTCAATAATCATCAGCCTTCACCAGTTATTGCAGTGACTTGCAGCTGCCCTCCTTATGCCTCAGAGTTATGCCTGAAAAACTCCTTCCCAAGGCATGGTAAGGATCAGTGGCACTGGCTAGTTTCCCATGAAGCTCTTTGTTGTGTTTACAGAATGTTGCTGAGGATTTGGACAACCTGTTATCGGCACTGAGTGAGAATCTGATCGATTTCACGGACCCCACGCCAGCGGTAGGTTCTGTTTACAAATGTGTTTTGCTGCTGCCGTGGGAGCATTGCAGTTTAACCCGACAAGCGCAAGTTGTGGTCTGGGCAGCAGCCTGCTCACTTCCTGTTGCTCTAATCAGAAGTGGATCTGTATAATAATCTATTAATGAATAGACACAAAGCATTGAGGAAAAAACAAAACTTGCATTTACGCACTGACAACGCTTTACAACTGTTGGAATCGTTTTGAGCTGCTGTGATGTAGAAACACAGCACCCAATTTGTGCACAGCATAATTTGGTAATTTGTACTTTTCGATACCTCCCTAGAACTATTTTTAGTTCCATTTAAATGCACCCCTTTGTTTATGTTATCCATCAGATTATTGTAAACCTCTTGCTGCATCACTCAGATTTATTTATGTGGATGATTTTCCATTTGGCTGCCAACTGTACCATCAAAGAGCCCAAATGCCAGTCTAGAATTAGTCATTACTCTTCCTTCTAAACTCTCTTATTCCCAGCTACCCTGACCATATTGGTCAATCTGAAGTTAAAATGTCAAGTGGGCTTCATTGAAGAAATAGTTAACTATTTCTTCTGACATTTCTATTTTTTTAATTGAATGTTTTGGCGTCAATCTAGGACATGGTGGTTCCTAACGGGATGATTTTCAGTCGCGACGTCTCTTCCACTGTAATGGCACCAAAACCATTTGCTGAACCCACACTCTTTCCATTTCCGTCTCACACTCCAGCTCAACATTCCTTGGAATCAACATTTCCATCAACTCCCAGGTAAAATCTTGTTTTTAAAAAAAAGCAGTAATTGCTGGAGAAACTCAGCAGGTCTGGCAGTATCTGTGGAGAGAGAGTTAACATTTTGAGTCCAATGTGACTTCTTCAGAACTGCAGAGAAAATGTCTCATCCATGGTGTCCTCTGCTGTTGGATTAATGAACCCAAGCCCAGTGTTTGCTGGAAAATGGAAACTGAATCATCAGAATTGAACGGTTGTATATCTGTTAAATTTCGATTTCCCTAGCTGTAATATCAAATGTTACATCCTCAGATCTTTCATTACCTCTTTTTCTCTTTAACCCGCCACCTCCAAATTGCCTGTCAGCTCTGTTTTCCTAACTATTGTGCTGAGCCCCCACTCTCAAACCCCATCCCCTACCCTATTTTAACAATGCAATCTTCAGGCTAAAACTCTGGATTTTGTCCATCTCCCCATCTGCCTCACAACTCTCTCCCCAGCACAAAAAAGCCGCTACTCTTTCATAATTGAGGGATTCAGTCATCTCCCAAAATGCTCTTGCCCTGTCCGCAGCTGCTGTGCAGCACCTTGGGAGCTGTAAATGTTAAAGATGTTATTTCAGTTGTTGACATGTTGTGATCGAAGTTGTTTATCTCTTGCAGCATTATCACAAAGAATGTGGAGAAGACTGTGAAGCCCAAGGGATTATTGACAACAGAGTTGTGAGGAATACAGAGCTTGCCTTTGACCCATTTATAAAGTGAAAACAACAGTCAAAGGTGTCTGCCTTCATTTAGAATCCTAAGATATTCCATGTGGAATACCCAAACAACACTTGAGACCTCCTTTTGTACAGAATCTGAGCTCCACACTGCCTCCTTTATGAGACAGTGGCTGTAGGAATAGTCCCCTAATGGAATCTTGCTTTTCAGACCCACTACAAAAGTAAGGTTTTAATTTCTGTTTGAGAATGTGAATTCCTCCTAAGCTGCTTATGGGTTAAAGCTACTGGAAAAACAGTTCCAAGTACAGAAGGTTACTCGGAATGTGGACCATTGTTTCATCTCAAAGAATAATCTATGTTTACCGGCAAGAGGAATAGTTCGTGCTGACTACTGCGAGCAAGGAGGAACTGTTGTCAGAAGCTGGCGTGACAGTAAAGGAGCCAGTTTCTGACTGAGTGGGAATAGTGCAGGTTGGAAATGAAGGTAAAACACTGTAGTCCCGAGTCTCCAACCCAAATTCTCCAGTTAGCTTTTCTTTCCACAGGGATCAACTCTGCATTTTATGAAGAGCAGACATTTCAACATCTCAGAGATATTAAATTCTGAGGCACATTCCACATAGAATCTGGATCAAACTCCAGTATATCCAAGAAGGGGGTCTGGGAGGCGGAATCGGAAGTCTGGAGAGAGATGGTAGCACTGATGTGGATGCCGGATGACACTGAATTTTTTTTTAAGTTTCCTGATGCTCTAGCAGTAGTTTGAAAAACTTACTAATTTTTCAAATCCTAGGTAAGGAGGGCAGGGGGAAGAGACCATTTCACAATGCAAGGTGATCTGAGCCTAATCGAAAAATATTGCACTTTTGGCAATTGTTCCCTCACCTGCACAAGATGCCAGTAACCACCAGAAGAATCTTGGAAACGCCTGGTCAATCAATGATGGTTTCATCTGACATTTCTTTATCAGATATCAGAAATGTAAAAGACAACATTGTTTGGGAAGATGACAAAAAGAAGCTAAAACGAAAGAAAAACTGTGACCATGCAATTTCAATCAGCAATTCTTCTGATACTGTAAACTTTTCTATTGGTTTCCATGTTGAATTTACAATTTTGTTTTAATCTCCTTTCCATTTCAATCTGTTTGTTGCCTGTTTCTCTCAACACCCCACTGATCCCTAATGCCCTACAGCATACCTGCTGCTGTATCATAATTGGATTCTTAAAGAGCTGTTTTTGTGTTTCCCAGAATAATCTACTCCCCACCTCCCTCTATGCACAGATTGCTCACTCTGCTGGGAAGGTTTCCCTGATTTGTGATGGCCAGAGCAATTCATTCCATGAGAATATGGGAATGGCTGCATGCTACAAGTGGAAGAGATGCCTATGGTTTTGTCATACCTGATGCAATATCCCTCATCATTCTGTTCTGTTCTCTCTCTTCCCCAACCCCACCCAACCCTCGATCTCTCGCCTGCCGCGCACACACACACACACACACACACACACACACACACACACACACAACATGAAGTATAAAACGTACTCTGACTAATCCTCCCACTCCTGCCTGACGTATTCTGCTGGTTTCATACTAGTTTAATCCAACTGGCCACCTGTCCTCAGGGTCTACTGTTGAAACTCTTCCTTAGGTCAACAGATTGTACATGGATCAGTGTGCCCTTTAAAGTTCTTCAAATCAGAAGTGCATATCCTTTCTTTGAGAGGGAAGACGTCTCTGGTCTAATTAGCACCTTTTCTTGCTGGAGCCATGATCGGTCTTTTGTTAATCATAGGGTTGTAAAACCCACTGCATTCACCCAACTCCTTCTCTAAATTATGTTCAACTATTTATTACTATTTCATTGCACATTTTACTTATTGTGGGGTGGAGTGGTACTGTTTGCATTTGTCCCTATGTAGTATGGCAAAAATTTTATTAACTGGCTCCTGTGGGACCAGAAGTGTGTCAGTTGATCAAATATTCCAGATAATCAAGAGGCCCACATGATCAATGTAAAAACACTAAGTAATTGAAACTAAGTAATGCAGGGGTTATATACATCACTGTTATATTTTATTTACGGCATAAATCACTTAAATCATAATGAAACTTTACCTTCAATAAAATTCACCAGCAGAGAGCCTTCTCACTTTTGCAGCCTCAACTAACTGTTCAAACATTGCGATAATACAGTAAATATCTGGTATTTCAGCTATATAATTTTTGCCGGTTTATTGGGAATGCTGGTTCATAAGGTACTAGATAAAACAAAGTTTGCTGTATTCATTCTTACTCCTCTTCACTGCTTCCTAACAGCCACTCTTTGCTTCCTTTCACCTCCCAAGCTAGTGTTGTTTTGACTGCAACCTCTGTAGTTCCCTAGCTGATAGTGGAAATTGCAGTGCCTCAGTAATTGTGTTGTTATCTGATAACCTTTCCCCAAGATCCCAGCTTTGCTCAGCTCTTTGCACTAGCTCACAATGTTGTGTGTTCAGCCTCTATACCAGGACACCCTGTGGTGCGATATATTGTTAACCTTTGAGGTGATTCACATCATGAACTGGAATCCTGCTTGTTTGGGAGGGTGGTGAAGACCTCATGGCCACACCTAAAGGACAGACAATTTACCCCAGTGCTGAGTTCTGTTACTCCCTCAATGCTTAAACAGTGATTCACCCTTCTGCTATTTTTAGGACATTAATGTAAATTTCAAACAGCGATGTATTAACATAGTGTTTCAACTTTTAAATATACTTTCCCCTGTATTGAATTGCGTTGGGAACTTTAACCAGCTCATTCGGATGGTGTTAATGTTTCTAAATAGGAATCTTAACCACAACTCTTACTTTTGTATTGAAAGTGTATATTTTTTTAAGTATAGTTTAATCTTGTCTAGTCACGAGGATAAGTCTCTTGTTATCCGAAGTTCTAAAAATTGTAACTGAATGACATAGAGGGGCTGGGGTGTAAACCAATTGAGTGTTGTGGTCACAGTTTTTAATGACACCAGGCAGCTGATATGATTTGAAATGGAAACACTGACAGTAATTCTCCTCTTAATGTATTTTTATAACCTTACATTTGTTTACTTTGTTGTGCTCCCTACTGAAAATTGAGGGTGTTCAAAACACACAAGGACAGTGTGGTGGCCTTCTAAGCTTATCTTCATCAAACACTCTGGTTAAAGGCAAGTTGACATTCCTATGAAAAAAAGTATGCAGAATCCCGTAAAGAATAATAATTTGTTATACTCCTTTGAGGCTGATGTCTAATCTTAGCTTTATATCAACATGATTTTAATGATGTAATTTGGTGTTAAGTTTATGTATTCTGTGAGGTGAGGATGCGACAATTCCTCATGAAGTGATCTTGTGTTGTTTTGAGTTTGAAGCTGCTGTATTCAGTGCAAAGCAATGTTTCTGTGATTTCATGTGCCCAAACAAAACCCATTGCACCCAGGTCAAGACTGTCTCCTTCCTTTGAGGATGCCTCAAAGATGGCATTATGATCTATTTGGTCTGTTTTATTCATAGGAAATAAAACCTAGAATATTCATCAGGTCTGGCAGGCATCGGCACAGAGTAAACCAAGTTGAAACTTCTGATTTCAGTCAAGTTGACTTCAGAAGATTAAAAGCAAACCATGTAGATGCTGGAAATCTGAAATAAAAACAGAAAATGCTAGTGAAACTCAGTAGGTCTGGCAGCATCTGTGAAGAGAAATCAGGGTTAACAATTTGAGTCTGGTGACACTTCCTCAGAACAGTTCTGAGAAAGGGTCACTTGACCCAAAATGTTAACTCTGATTTCTCTTCACAGATGCTGCCAGACGTGCTGAGCTTTTCCAGCAACCTCTGTTTTCATATCTTCCTTATGCCTGATTTCAGCCACATGCGTCGGGGTTTTCCCGTAATGGGCAATCTGGGGAACCCAGAGTCAATTTGTTACATCAGCATAATCCCAGAGCAACTCTTCAAAAGATTGAAGGGACCTCTACCATTTCTAAAGCATCCCTTAGAATCCGTTTTTCAAATCAACTCTCAAATTTACCTTGCCAACAAGAATGGAAAGCAGAGCATAAAAGTCCATTCAAAAGGCAATTATGCTAACTCTTTTTGAAAGGATTATCCAATTAGCCTAACCAAAACCAGCCCCCCAACCCACTCATTTACTTCCTTTTCAATGTTTATCTAATTCTGTTTTTGTAAGTTGCCATCGAATCTGCTTCCATGATCCTTTTACACATTACACAGTCGGTTATGATCAGGAATGCAAAGAAAATTATCTTCATCTTCCACATTCTCATGAAAGGCCATCTAGACCTGAAATATTGACTTACCAATCCAACTGTTAGTTTCTACTCATCTATTGTATGCAAACCCTAAAAAGTTATGAAAAGCAACACTAAATGCCCCCTTCCCCCCTAATGCCCCCTTCCCCCCTATACTCACAAAAATACCCCTTAGTCTTCTGACATTTTTAAAGTCATGGTCCATATGATTGAGAAAAAGCCAGCTGAGAATTGGGGGCTTGAACTTGTCTTTTTTAAAAAAGGACCAGATGGGAAAAGTAACAGTAAAACAGACCTATCAAAATAAAGCTGTGTTTACTGTTGTCCCAGGTGACAGCAATACTGAAACTCCGATCCCAGAATGAAATCTGGCTTGATAGATTGTGTATTTTATTTTGTTTAGTTATTGGGGGGGTCAGTCACTGAAACATAGGGCTGTAGATGTTTTTCAACAGTGGCCTCAACTAGTTATGCTCTGACAACCTGAGGACTTCTATCCCAAACTTTTCTGGCTTTTTTTTCTAGTTTGTGAAGTTTCAAAACTCTGCTGCCACAATAACCAGTTTACAGTGAACTGAAGTAAAGTCAAACCAATGGGAGAGAAATAGTTCTCTTAACTGTATTTTGCTAGGAGAGAAACTAAAACTTTCTTTTGAATTCAATTCTTAATTGTTCTCCACTAAAACTCTGGTGTTTTTCTGACCTTGGTGAAATTAAAACAATGGCTTAATGTGTTTAAACTACCTGTCGCAAACCCAAAAGTACGAACTTATTCCATCAGTGCTCCAGGGATTCTCCCAAACTGTTGCTTGTAATAACTTGTCTTCTTGGAACTGGTGCATTTCAGTCATTGTTGCAGAATTGCTTTCAGACCTCACAGCACTAACCCACAAACACAAGCCAGTATTTTAAAAACAACTCCAATTCTTTTTGAGAATTTTGAGGAGGGAAGGAAATGGGTAGCACAGACATGTTGGGCCAAATGGTGGCTTCCTATGCTCCATGAGAAATAAAATTCATGGGTTGTGGCCATTACTGAGTGAGTTAACAGTTACTGCCCATTCCTGTTTACCTTGAAGATGGTAGTGAACTGCCACCTTAAATCACCACAGTCCTCAGGTATAGGTACACCCACGAAGCTGATAGGGAGGGTGTTCTGTGATATTAACCCAGTGACCATGAAGGAATGGTGACGTTCAAAATCCAAGAGATCATCTGTCATTGAAGAATACATGCTGTAGGTTGGGATGTAACCAGATTTGTTTGTGATGTCCACTAAAATTGAGTGAGGGAAACCATAACCTCTGTGATGAGTCATGAATGTTTGCCACTTGTTTGAGGTGGTGGCTGTGAGGTGCAGTTTGGAGGTATGCATCGAGCAATGGATGATGGTGGAGGCTCCAACTTCCTTTCCATCACCTGACTGATCTGGAATCTGCCCCGCTCGTACTGCTGCCATTGGCATGTTTTGGGAGGATGTGCATGTTGGTTAATCTACTGTGTTGTGAATGGACTTTCCTTGCCCATTGAGACCTGGAGTGGGACTTGAGTGTGGGACCTGTGCTTCACAACCTCTTGGCTCGAGTACTGGCTGGTTTCCCATGTTAGTGCGAGAGAAGGGGGAAATATAGAATAAAGGAGTACTTAAAAAGTATATAAATATATTTCTCAGCTAGTGTACAAGATAGTACCACTGTCTTTCAAGTGTAATTTGTCTTGTTAATTTATAGCTCTAGAATGTCATATACAAGTGCAATTTTCATTAGTCCTCAAATAATTTATTTTTTGATTAAAAATGCACGTTTTCACAATGAGCAGTCTGCGTAGAGACCAGTATTAGAGGCACAGCACTGATTTCTGTATTTCTATGTAAGTTTGTCAAATTAAAAAATGTGGTTTGTAGTTTACTTACTCTTTTGTACATTTATACTGTGTAGTTTTTCTTTCCCTCTGAGTACAATAAAAAATTTATTTGGATGCAAATAATGAGAAGTTCTTGGTGTTTATACTTACCTGAAGAGGAGGAAATTTGCAGGAAAAGGGCAGGGAAGTGGGGGTTGCTTGGTTGCTTCTGGAGAGCTGGTACAGGCACCAAGGGTCAAATGGCTACTTCCTGTGGTGTAACCATTCTAACTGTTTTCAAATACCCTGGCTATCTGCAAACTCCTTCAGCCTTATAACCTTTTGAGAATTCTGTTCCTCCAAATTGCATCTCTTGCACATTTCTGATTTTAATTCCTATGCCTCAGCTATTCAGGCTTAGCTCTGGAACTCCCTCACATCCCTCTGTCTCTCTCAATCCTTCCCCTCCTGTCAAGATGTTCCTTTTAAAGAGCAACAACTTTTGGCTACCAAAGCCTTGGTCAACCATGCAAGTTTTTAAGGAGCATTGTAACAAGAGGGTACACTCAGTTATAGTTGGTACAGCAGCTGGTTTGCACACCTAGAAGAGGGACAAACCCTCAAGAAAGAGCAGAATGATGAATCCAGACCCTAAGAACCTGTCGACCAAATATTAGTACAGAGATAGTAGGAACTGCCGATGCTGGAGAATCTGAGATAACAAGGTGTAGAGCTGGATGAACACAGCAGGCCAAACAGCATCAGAGGAGCAGGAAAGCTGCCATTTTGGGTCTAGACCCTTCTTCAGAAATGGGGAGGGAAAGGGGATTCTGAAATAAACAGGGAGAGAGGGGGAGGTGGATAGAAGATGGATAAAGGAAAAGATAGGTGGAGAGGAGACAGACAGGTCAAAGAGGTGGGGTTGGAGCCAGTAAAGGTGAGTGTAGGTGGGGAGTTAGGGCCTCCCCCTCTCTCCTTTATTTATTTCAGAATCCCCTTCCCCTCCCCCATTTCTGAAGAAGGGTCTAGACCCGAAACGTCAGCTTTCCTGCTCCTCTGATGCTGCTTGGCCTGCTGTGTTCATCCAGCTCCACACCTTTTTATCTTAGACCAAATATTAGTGATGTGGAAGTTTGAGGTTGTAGATATGCTCGCCGAGCTGGTAGGTTTGGTTGCAAACATTTCGTCACCCTGCTAGGTAACAAGGTCAGTGCGCCTCTGGTGAAGCGTTGGTGTTCTGTCCCGCTTGTTATTTATACACTTGTTTGTTGGGGTGTTTGGTACAACCTTGTTTCTGTTTCTCAGTGGTTTGTACACAGAGTCTAATTTAACGTGTGTGTTGATGGAGTTCCCTGGCATGCCTCTTTGGCTTGTGTGATTACTGGATGTGTTGTCCCAGTTGAATTTGTGTCCCTCTTTATCCATGTGTAGTGAGACAAGTGAGAATTGGTCGAGTTTCTTGGTGGCTAGTTGGTGTATCCGTATTGTTAGTTTTCTTCTGGTTTGGCCTATGTAGTGTTTCTTGCAATCCTTGCATGGTATTTTGTATAGTACCTGTTTTGCTGGTTTTGGGTATAGGATCCTTTATGTTCGTCAGTAGCTGTCACATGGTGGTTATTGGTTTGTGGGTTACTTTGATACCTAGGGGTCTGAGTAGTCTTGTGGTCATCCCTGAAATGTCCTTGATGATAGGCTAATTAGTGAGTCTGGTCGTGTTGTACCTTCCTGTTGTGGTCTGATTCGGAGGTAACGGCAGATTGTGTTTTTCGGGTATCCATTCCTTTTGAAGACTCTATATAATGTGCTCCTGTTCTGCTTTGCATAGTTCTGGGTTGCTGTAATGTGTTGTGGCTCACTTAAATATGCAGCTCCATTTGTGGGCATTGGGGTGGTTGCTAGTGTAACTGAGTATCTAGTCCATACGTGTGGTCTTTCTATATACACTAGTCTGGAGTTCCCTGTTGTTTCTGCATTCTACCATTATGTCCAGGAAGGGTAGTCAGTTGTTGTTCTCTTCTTTTAAATGACATTCTCACTGGGATAAAATGCACAAGTGTCAGTGGGTTTCTTCTACTTTTATGTTTGATAAGGACAAAGGTGTCATCTACATAGCAGACCCAGAGCTTGGGTTGTATAGTGGGAAGCATTGTCCATTCTAACTTTTGCATTACTGCTTCTGCAATCAGTCCTGGTCTTGGGGGATCCAATTGGTGTTCTGTTGATTTGTTTATATAAGCCGTTGTTGAAGATGAAGTGGGTTGTGAGGCACAGTTTCATGGTGGTGTCCTGGGGTGCCTGCTTACTTCATTTGTCCAATAGCGTGGCGATTGTCTCTTTGGCTAATTTGATGTTTATCATACCTGGGAATGGGGGCTTGGGGTCTCCACTATTTTTAGTGTGATTATCCTTGAGGTTCAATCTACACCTAAGTAAATTCTTGAAGTCATGGTAACTTCCTTTGAAAATGGGCTTCAAAAAGAACACTTTAACAAGAATCAATTTTGAAGCTTTTAAGAAAGTGACCCAAAGCAAATTTAATTGTAAACATTAAATTTATTTGCAATATGACAGTGCCTGATTAGTAATGATAAATATTCCACAAGTGGATAAAGATGTAAAACACAAACACAGCATTCTATCATAAACCTTCAAACCCACTGCTTCAGTATGAGAATGTTTTACGTTCACCAAACTCACATCTGCCTGCAACAGCTGTTTTTATCACTACATTTATTTTGTTTTCTGACTATTTGGTAAATGGTTTGCATGATACACATCTAAAGTAAACACACACACACACACTTTTGTTGTTTTAATTCTAGTATTGAATGCTCATGTATTGCAGATTTTTTTTTGACATGAGGCATCACAAATTTGAGAAGTAAGTTTTTATAGCTAGTTAAACCTAAATCAACTGGACTTTGTCTTTTGTGTAAAACTAATGGGCAGAGAAGGATTATTCAACAATACATTACAAGAACCAGTATCATTGTGCATGTTAAATAGCCTGTACAAAATTTATATTGCACTTTAAGGCTGAGAATAAGCACTGACCTAGTGATATGCATGTCCCATGAATGAATTTTTTTGAAAAATGCAATAGGCTTAGCCTAGAACACTGATTATAAACTACACCAGTGATGTTTCTGGTGCTAATCAGTCTAAACATTCTCACGCTACCAGAGGCTTGTTCATTCAAATTCTCTTTTCTCCCTTTGCCACATGGCAAAGAAATTATGGTTCCTGGGTTAGTGCCACAGACATAGATGCAAATACTATCTCACCCTAAAATCCTGGAGACAGCGCTCAAGGATTCCCAGTGGCAGCAGCAGACTGTAACACACGGTCAGTGCGTTGGATGAAAACTCCAGCCTGACATGAGCCTTGTATAAAAACTATGTAAGTACGCAAAAAGGGTCACAATCCAAACTCCTGGATTATGCAGCAGTACAGTAAGGAGACAAGACTTTTTTTCTCATCCATACTTAGCAATGATTTCACACAATAACATTTATGACAGTCTGCAGCCATCTTTTCCAATAAAAGCTCAATAAAAGGAAAGGTTTGCAAGCCAATGAGGTAAAATGTGAAATTGATAACTCTTTCAGAGAGCCAGCACACATACGGTGGGGGCTCTACTGTGAAGTTATTTAATTTACCTGCCTGGCAGTCAGACCCCATGAGTGGAATGAATGATGCACTGGCAGCATACCCTGAATTCTGTCAGGTATGGTTAGCATAGCAGGAGACTGCAGAGTTTAAGCAAAGGTAATATGGCAAACAAGCCTAATATTGCACTGTGATTATTTAAATACTGGTGTATATATTGTAATAGATTATAAATAGGGTAATTGCTTCAAAGCAGAAATCACATTTGAACCAGGCTAAAAGTATAAAAGAAACCTCAGTTCAATGAGATTTTAAAGTTAATAGTGCAACTAACTTTATGTCTTTGTCACTTTTACATCACCTGGCCTATAAACTAATATCTTGGCTGAACACTGGAAACAGCCCATTCAGTTCATCCATCTCTAGTTTTTCAGGCACTTGAGATGGATAAATACATTCGATTTAAACATGAGAAATGTTATCTATGTAACTTGCAACTTAAATTCTATTTCTAATAGCCCATATTTTATAACCACAATCATTAGTAATAATTCAGACTCCATGTCTGTAATCCACCATAATAGCCTATGATCTCTGGCACCTCCAGTAATTCTCCAGAATCCATATCATTAATATCCCAGGCATCCAGTCACTATTCTCAGTAATACTTGACTCCACAAAACCCTGTAGTAACACCCCAGAACGCTATATCATTAATACCGATGAAACCCTATCACTAGGCACAGTTATATCTCTGACTCCACATAACTAAACTTTGATAATACCTCAGGCACCACATCATTAATAACAGTAATATCCCAGCTGATGTGACCAATTCCAGTTAAACAAACTCTGTCATTAACTCCACTCATGTCCCAACTCCGCACTACTCACTTCACATTGTTTATCATTACTCTGAGCAGATCTGGACACCACACCTCAGGAAGGATGTATTGACCTTGGAGGGAGTACACATAGACTTACAAGAATGATGCCAGGACTTCAGGGGTTAAGTTTGAGGGAGATTATACAAATTAGGCCAGCTTTCTCTAGAATCTACAAGGTGATCTGATCAAAGTCTTCAAAATATTAACAAGAAAAGACAAGGTAGATAAAGATTAATTATTTCCATTGGTTGGGGATTCTACAGATTGGGGGCCTAGTCTGAGAAATAGGGCTAGACCGTTCAGGAGAGATGTCAAGAAGCCCTTCTACACACAAACGGTGGTAGAGGTTTGGAACTCTCTTCCCCAAATAGCAGTGGATGCTGGATCAATTGTTAATTTTAAATCAGAGATAAACAAATTTTTGTTAAGCTAAGGTATAAAGGGACGTAGGGGGTCAAAGGCAAGTATATGGAGTTAGGTCACAGATTAGCCATGACTATATTAAATGTCAGAACAGGCTTGAGGGGCTGAATGGCTTACTTCTGTTCCTACATTCTTGGGTTCCTATCAACACCTTTGCATACTGTCCACCACCCCTCCTCCCAACCACACATGCACAGAGGTCTTTCAAAAAGTGCTAACTTTCTGGTTGTGATGAGGACTCCCAACGTTTAGTAATGGTTTAAGGCTACTTCCTACAGCAGATTTCTTCACTCCTTTGGGGTGAGACAAGTTACTAAGTGATTGATGACCAGTGTTTTTGTTAAAACAAAAGGGGTACAAATGCCAACAATGTTTTGATTTTAAAAACCGAGAGAACTGTGGATGCTGTAAATCAGGAACAAAAACAAAGTTGCTGGAAAAGCTCAGCAGGTCTGGCAGCATATGTGAAGAAAAATATCAGAGTTAATGTTGCGTTAACCCAGTTCTGAGGAAGGGTCAACCAGACCCGAAATGTTAACTCTGATTTTTTTTTCCTCAGATGCTGCCAGACCTGCTGAGCTTTTCCAGCAACTTTGTTTTTGTTCATGTTTTGATTTTAAATGGATTTACAAGATTAGCCAGGGGCACTTGAATGATTAAAAAGCTTAGTTCCAGCGGTTGGTGCAATGAGACTCGAGACAAAGAATTCACCGTGTGCACTCACAAAAGGTCTCCCCGCCACGCCATTACGGGGCTGGTGAGAAAGTGACTCAGTTGGTTTATTTACAATAAACTACAACACTGAGTTATGGTCTGCGTCTCGCACCATTCCTGCTGGCCCTTCCAGCCCTGCCATGTCGATTACAGAATTAAGAAGCACTGGCAGACCCAAAGAGCTATAGTGGTGTCCTAGCCGCTTGTACTGGGACTGGGGAGTGATTAATAGCTGCCATTATTATGTACACCGGATACATGCACTACCCTGATAGGTCATAGGATTCTGATGGACTGAAAACAACACTGATTTTAAGAATAAATGACTATAAATAATAAATAAAATCACGATACACGTGATTTAACACCTAATTATAATGTATGCTACATTAATTGTAGTATGGTGCCAGTTGTCTTTCACTCCCATGCCACTATAGCATTTTTTTAAAAAAAAACTTTACTGTCTTTATAATACCACATTCAAAATAATACTTTTAAAAATGAAACATGCATTTTAAAAATGCCAGACAATGAGTTACAGGTGATGATTTTAGCTCTGTTTGTCTTCAGGCTTGTTTGGTTAAGTCTGTCACGTGGAGGGATTTCTAATGGTGGTTTATAAACTTTAATGCCCATCGTGGCAACAACTTGCCAGTCACACCATAATGTACCCAACCAGTCTAATGCAGCAGGTGACAAGTCTATTACTGTCCCAACCTGCCAACTCAAAATCCAATGGTTGGGATTGTGGTCCATCCCACTCTACATAAACAACAACTAGAAGTGACAAAAATCCTCTGGCCCCTTTAGAACGATTCTAATCAGAGTCCATTTATGACTGCTGCATCTTTGACACATTCTCCCATTCTGACCCCCATAATCTCTTGTAATTTATTTGAAGGTCATTAGATTACTCCTATTCCTTGTTAAAAAGAGATCCAGCAATGCTAATCAACCCACCCCATACTCAATGATCCACTGCAATCGCAAAGCTGTTGATTAAAATAAACTTCTCAATAAAGCAAATGGTTATTTTTCCTGACTCTTTTCCATATGTGCGATCCCCATCCCATCTTCACTCTACATTAGTGAGGAGGCCCGGTTTCCAAAGACACTAACCTCAGTTGCAGTACTGCAGCTAAACACAGCCAACCACACCGCATTCAATGACACGTGTAAAGGGTTTCAACAACAAAAGCTAACACACATGCACAGTATGCCAGCACAGTGGTTTAAAAAATTACAGAAAGCAATCTGCAGGATACAATTGGTTTTTCCTCTGTAAACCAGTGCTACTTAACAAGTATCATCTGTTTAACTCATTGCTACACATTTATTATTTGCTATTAACTAAACAAGTATTCTTATGGGCAACAGGAGAAATAGCAAACCAACTAGACTTCTAATGATCCATATTACTCTAGATACTCATGTCAATTCTCTTGAATTTAGACCTAAAACCCATCATTTTTCGTGGACCTTGTGTAAAAACTGACTCTAGCTTTTCAGCAATCAAGGCACAAAAATTTCAGAGCCCAAAGTATAATCCTGGTGGTATTAATGATTCGATTAAGTGTATAATACAAACGAAAATGAGAATCTGAAAATATGTTTAAGATAGTTATACGTTTAGATAATTATGGAGTGAAATAAATATATATAGTTTGTAATGTTTTGAAATAAACAAATGTTAGATAAATTGATTTGAATTCTTTAGTGATTTTTTTGGCTTTATTTTATTGTAATGTTGTCATCGAGCCCAAATCAATTATCCATTTTGACCACCGAAGATCATTAAAAGTCACTATCTTGATTTTTACAAGCTGGTCTTAAACATTTCACTATGAGTATTCACCAGAACTCTGGTAAAGGATCTTGCAAAAACAAATTAACCTGCTTGCTCCTTTCAGACACTGCCTGCATTTTCAGCATGTTTTGCTTTTACATTTTGAATCTTCGTCTATATTTTCTCTCGTCATTAGAGCTCTGTTGAGGTAGAGTGGGATAATAAAGGTTTTGTCACTCCTGAAGTAGTTTCCACTGTAACTTAGGTTTCATTGTATTTCTTCTTGCTAGATAGAGTGCTCATCCTAGCTTAGCAGCCCAGTTACCATAGCATTTAGACTGGATGCTTTGGAGATTGAAGAGTTAAATCAATGTTGCACAGTAGGATTTAATAATAGGACTTTTCTCTAATAGCGCTGTGGATGGGGACTTCAGCTAGTTCAAGACAGCGGCTCTCTGCTACATTCTCCACGACAGTTAAGAATGAGCAACAAACTCTGGCCCTGCCTACTTAAGACCATCCAACAACAGCTAGCAATTCAAAATTAGAAACTTTTGATTACTTGTTAACTACCAAAGGGAGTGAGGCTGTCCAAGTTAAACATCTGCACCATGTTTGGAATCTTCCTGTGCTGATGGGCAAGATAAATGGTAATGCAAGATATCGCTTTGTAAGAATGCTGAGCTGGAAGCAAAGTAGTTGACATCTGTAACTAGAAGTAGTAATGTCAGAAAATGAAGATGGAGGCAAGAGAAAATGAAATCTATTGTTCATCAGCCCTGGGAAAAAAAAAGAACTTGACATTAAGCACAGCACATGGAAAAATAACCAAGAATAAAAAAAGCCTGCTCCCAACTATGCTGCCCTTCCATAACCACCCTGACTATTTGCGGTGCTACTTAAAATGCCAAAGAACCTCTCCATATTTCACAAGTGCGACTTTCGGCAAAGTGCTTTTTGTTTTAAACCAAACACAGCTTACATAATTCCACAAATATAATCTTTATCACAGCTTCAACATCAGTCTGGGTTTTTTTTATGTAAACCTACAGGAATTCCCAATTCTAACCATCGGTGGTCGGTAGAAATAGAAGACCATTGCGAGTATTTAATGCGTGCATCTTCCACTCTGGTTGAATGACAAAACCTATGTTTTTCTGAGCACATTATGCATATTTGTCAGATTCATATTAGGAACTGTTCTGACAAACACAAAGTTGGATAAAAAATATGCATAACTTTGTCTGTCTGCACATTCTAGCTTACAAGAGTCAAACTTTATATAAAATCTATAAAAATATAAAAGCTCCTTAGAAAATGTTTGTTCTGAATTAGCATATTAGCACAATAGCAAAATAGCAAAAAAGTACAAATAAAACTCTTAATGTTACACCTTGATGGCCAAGTGTGCCTTAAAACAAAACAATAGCTAATCGCTTGATGAAAACAATAACAAGACTACTTTCAAGGGTTTTCTCATTTTAAAAACTAGCACTTTAAAAACATTTCGCAAAGCTTCATCTGCCACAATGAAATGCAGCCATTCTCAGATAATGGCTTACCACCTACAATCAAGAGAACTTCTGGGTGACTATCACTTGTGTGGAGTGTCACAGCGGCTTGGTCAAGGCAGGGAATCCTAGATTCTTCTGAAGTGCTGTCATTGCGATACTCCTGAGTGCTACCATCTGCAGGAGACAGCTCCTTGGGCTGGATTGGAAAGCTGTGCCCGTTATTCCATTGCCATTCACCCTCGGGAGCAGTGGGATCTGATGCAGCCAGACTCAGAAGGTTCTCACTGCTTTCAGAAGACCGCATACTAAATGTTTTCATCTCAATGTTCGAATACATGTTTTTCCCTTTGAGCTTTATTGCTGTTGGGCTGCAGTAACCTGGTGCCTGAGTGGAAAAATTCAAGCAGCAGGCCCCTTTTAGGGGTTCACCATTGCATGCATCGTGCAGGCTGATGCTACTATCCTGGCAGATGAAGCTTGGTGTTGATGCTGTGCAGGAGATTTCGTCAACAGGTTTCTCCTGGAAGCTAGGACCAACTCCAATGGTACAGTGATAGATTTTCGGAGGCGGGTTTGTGTCTGTCGCTGGGTTTAATCTCTCCCAGGTCTGTGCTTTTAGTTGGAATTTCCACAGGCTGTTGTCAGAGCTGTTGTGGTTCCTTCCTCCACCAAAGATTAACATGTTGTCCTGGTATACGACAGCAGAATGACCCACCAACTGGTGAGGCCCAGAGCTGTGAGAAATGAAGAACGAGTGATCTTATTCAATAGCAAGTCCTGAACACATTCACAATTGGCAATGGAGATGGATTAGTCAAAAACCTGTAACAATTGTGGATTGTGGTTTGCATTATGCACGCTCTTATGTTTGTGGGAGGATAGAACAGTGTGTTGTTCCGAGTTGCTGATCTCACTAAAGGAAAGGTAGGAGACTAGCAATCAGGCAGTCTTGAGAAACAAGCTTTGCAAAATAAATCAGACAGTATTAACCCTGGCTTAGCAGCTGCCCTCATCTAAGCATATGGTGGGACAGAGGGGGGAAAGGAAAAGCTTCTGAGATCTAGAATGCCCTGGCAGTCACACAAGTGTTTGTACTTCCCCACTGGTTAAATTAAACCACGCAGAAAGGCTCAGGACGATGGACTTCCTTTCCTTATAAGAAAGCAAAACTTCCAGTGAATGTGCTCATGACTATGAATGGGTTTGTCAAAGTTAATGCAAGTGAAGTGTGCACTCGATAAGTGGTTCAAATAGGAAGGAAAAGTGTGAATCTGGAGATAAGAAAGGAGGGGTCAGAACCTCTTCTCAAGAAGGCCATGACTTAGTCAGAGAGAGCAAGAACTGCCAATGTTGGAGTCAGAGACAACACAGTGTAGAGCTGGAGGAACACAGCAGGCCAGGCAGCAGATGAGCAGGAAAGTTGACGTTTCGGGTCGGGACCCTTCTTCAGAAGTGGGGAGGGGCAAGGGAGCTGGGAAATAAATGGACAGAAGAGGGGTGGGGCTGGGGCAGGTAAGTGGGATGGTGATAGGTGAGTGCAGGTAGGGAGTGGTGGGGATTGGTCAGTGGGATGGGTGGGGCGGATAGGTGGAAGAGAAGATTGACAGTTTGTGTTAGGTCAAGGAGACTGGGATGAGAGGGAGGGTTGGACATGGGATGAGGCCAGGGGTGGGGAGATTTTAAAACCGGTGAATTCCATGTTTATGCCATCGCGCTGTAGGCTCCAGAGGCGGAACATGAGGTGTTGCTCCTCCAGTTTGCGGGTGGCATCATTGTGACACCGGAGGCGGCCCAGGATGGACATGTCACCAGGGAGTGGGAGGGGTAGTTAAAATGGTTGGCAACTGGAAGATGTTGTCGTTTGTCGCGTACAGAAACTACGAAACGGCCTCAGAGTCTCCGCTTGGTCTCACCGATGTACAGGAAGCCACATCGGGAGCAGCGGATACAGTCGACCACAATGACGGATGTACAGGTAAAACCCTGTCTGATATGGAAGGTTTGCTTTGGGCCTTGAATGAAGGTGAGGGGGCAAGTGTAGGGGCAGGTGTAGCACTTCCTGTGCTTGTAGGGAAAGATGCTGGGGGTAGTGGGGCTAGTGAAGAGTGTAGAGCAAGTGATGGAGTAGCGTAGAGAGCGATCCCTACAAAAGGCAGATCGGGGTGAGGAGGGAAATATCTCCTTGGTTGTGGGGTTGGATTGCAGGTGGCAGAGAATGATACATTAGGTACAGAGGTTAGTGGGGTGGTATGTGAGGACAAGGGGGATTCTGTCGTTAGTTTTGTTGGGGGGAGGGCGTGAGAGCAGAAATGCAGGAAACGCAAGAGATGTGGTTGAGGGCTTTTTGATCACTGGAGTGGGGAAGTTACTGTCCTTGAAATACGAGGACATCGGGGATGTCTGAGAGTGGAACACTCCATCTTGGGAGCAGATGCAGCAGAGGTGGAGGAACTGGGAGTAGTCATCAACGTAGTGGAGGAAGAGATAAGGGATGGTGCCAGTGTAACAACGGAAGAGGGACTGTTCCACGTATCCTCTGAAGAGGCAGCCATAGCTTCGTCTGGAGGGAGTGGGAGGAGTTAAAGGAGAAGCTGTTCAAGGTAAGGACAAGTTCTGTGAAGCGGATGAGGGTGTCAATGGAGGGCGACTGGTTGGGCCTGCGGGACAGGAAGCAGCGGAGGGCTTTTAGGCCATCTGCATGGGGGGTACAAACGTATAGGGACTGGATGTCCATAGTGAAGATGAGGTGTTAGGCGCCAAGGAATTGGATGTCTTGGAGGAGGTAGAGGATGTGAGTGGTGTCCCGGATGTAGGTGGGGAACCTGGGGGGAGAAAACCAAGTCAAGGTAACCGGAGATAAGTTCAGTAGGGCAGGAGCAGGCAGAGACAGTGGGTCGGCCGGGGCAGTCAGGTTTGTGGATTTTGGGAAGGTGATAGAAACGGGAGGTGTGGGGTTGGGGAACGATGAGGTTGGAGGCTGTGGGCGGGAGGTCACCTGAGGTGATGAGGTTATGAATGGTCTGACAGATCTTGGTTTGGTGGTCAGGGGTGGGGTCATAATCGAGGGGGGATGGGTAGGAAGAGGTGTCAGCGAGTTGGTGCCTGGCCTTGGCAATGTAAAGGTCAGTGCGCCATACCACTACTGCAGCCCCCTTATCTGGGGGTTTGATGGTGAGGTTAGGGATGTAGCAGAGTATGTTGTCAGGAATGACCACTGAAGTGGCATAATAAGGTGAGTCTAGAGACCAGATGTATTTCCGCTAAAAGAAAGAAGGAATTAGAGGATATTTAAAGAAGACAGTGTTGAATCTGTCAAAAAAGTTAACCTATTCAGACTTAAAAAGATTTTTGTGTACCAATATTTTCAGAGTTTCTCATTAGGAATCTAATTCATGAAGCTGCACAAGCAACAGCAACTTGCATTTATATAGCACCTTTCCCATAGGTATTTCATTTGTGCATTGATTCTCGGACACCAAAACTTGACATTGATCCATATCTTGTTATTATTTCATGGAATGTGGGCATCACAGGCAAGGCCAGCATTTGATGCCCATCCAAACTGCCTTTGAACTGAGTGGCATTTAAGAGACAACCATGTTGCTGTTGATGTGATGCCACATGCAAGCCAGATCAAGTTAAGGATGAAAGATTTGCTTCCCTAAAGACAGTTGTTAATTTTAAATCTGAGATAGATTTTTCTTTTGGTAAGCAAAGGTATTAAGGGATATGGACCAGAGGCAGGTATGTGCACTGAGGACACAGATCGGCCATGATCTCGTTGAATGGTGGAATAGGCTTCAGGGACTGAATGGCCTACTCCTGTTCTCACGTTCACAGATTTATTAGCCAGATGGGTTTTTACAGAAATTGATGACAGTTTCATGGTCACCATCACTGAAACAAGCTTCCAATGCCAGGTTTTTGTTAAATGAATTCACATTTCACCAGCTGATGGGATTTGAACTTATGGCCTCAGAGCACTGAATGGGCCATTAGATTAGACCAGTGACATTTTCACCATGCTACCATCTCCCCCATGCAGCTTTAGGGCAGATGTCCAAAGGATTAACCGAAAAGCTACGTTCTAAGGCCTCTCTGAAAGCAGGCAAGATGGGCAGAGAACATTCATCCCCTCAAGCCTACTCTGGCCCACAACAGGAAGCATCCTTTTCAAGTCCACCTTGGCAAAACCATTCAGGATCTCGTGGATTTCAATCAAGCCACTCCTCACTTTTCTAAATTCTAGTGAAAACAAACCCAGCCTGTCTAACCTATGCTGATTAGGCAACCTGTTCATTCCAGATAGCAATCTAGTAAACCTTCTCTGAATCACTTCCAATAAAGTTGGCGGGATCATGTCTAGCACCGCTGCCTCACAGCACCAGGGACCCAGGTTCTATTCTACCCTCGGGCAACTGTTAATGTGGAGTTTGCACATTCTCCCCGTGTCTGCGTGGGTTTCCTCCCACAGTCCAAAGATGTGCAGGTTAGATGGATTGGCAACGCTAAATTGTCCATTGTGTCCAGGAATGTGTAGGTTAGATGGATTAGCCATGGGAAACATAGGGTTGCAGGGATAGGGTAAGAGTTGGGTCTGCGTGAGATGCTCTTCAGATGGTCAGTATGGACTCAATGGCCTGCTTCCACACTGTGGGAATTCTATATTTATAGCCTTGTCCAAAAAAAGGCCAAACCTGCACACAGTATTTGTGATGTGGTCTCACCAATACAGTGTATAAAATGAACCGTACAGAGGGCTAAGGGTGTAATTCTAGAGAATAAGGGCTTTGGCAGCTAAAGGCACAGTTACCAACGGTGATGCACAAGAGACCAGAATTAAAGGAGTGCAGACTGGAGCAGATTTACAGGCATCAGGAAAATGAACGATTTTGAGAGGAGGATTAATTTTACAAGTAATCTTTAGAATTAATTAATTATTCAATTAGACCCAGTTGCTGAACACACTGAACCAAGACAACACACGAATGTCGAAATCTCTGTTTACCGTGCTCTGATCCTAGACCATACGCAGCTGCTGAAGTCCCACTTCCAAAAGTCATTCTGTTCGACAAGGCCAACCAATCCACCAAACAAGTACATTCCTCTCCTGTAGACAGCCGCAGAGTGACTGTACCGAGGCCCTGGGCCCACATCCCCACAAGGGGTAAATACTGGGCACCAATCTTTGGCATCTGTTGGAAAGAAGTATTTCAATAACACTGAAATTGAGATATAAAAAATGCAAAGTTTACTTATTCTGAAAAGACATTATCTCGCACTCTTTCCAAACTGCATTGTTCTTTTTAATTTTTTAAAAATTTCGATTATGGGAGAGACTCGAACCATATGGGTCTGGAGTCACATGATGCCAGAGCAGGTAAAGATGACAGATTTCCTTCCCTAGAGGACATTAGTGAAGCAGATGAACTTTTATCACAATCAGCATTAGGCTGGTTTTTTTTAATTACGGTTTTTTTTTTTAAAATTAGTTTTTTTTTAAAATTGAATTAAAATGTCACCAGCTGTCAAGGTGGGATTCAAACCCAGTTCCATTTTCTCAGAAAATTAGCCTCGGGTTCTGGCTTGCTAGTCCAGCAACATTACCTGTGCTGAAGAGATAGTAGGAACTGCAGATGCTGGAGAATCTGAGATAACAAGGTGTTACCTGTGCTTTTCTTTCTGATCAGATCAAACTAGGTTGGGCCTGCTGGGATTGTTGATGTTGCAAGTTTTCTTTTGGGAAAGTGAATGTGGCAGGAAGTTGTAAAATGCACCAACTTAAGGGTTATTAACCTTTCTATTTCTGAAGAACACATCTGTTGTAATCTGCATTAGCAGTTTAAAAAAAAAATTACCATGCTGCAGCATGTTCCCAAATAAGTGTAGGACATCCCCCGGCCTGCTTAGTCTGTCTCCCTACAAAGAACTTGCTGCCTCCAGCTGTTTCTGAATCAATTCCTTATTTGAACTCCACCTTGAGGATACTGCATGTGTTAATCACTTGTAAATGAAAAAGACCTTCCTCACGTTAGTGCTAAATTTCCTTTCAGTCAATTTGAAGTTACACTACCTTGGCTCGCTGTGGTTTCATTTAATTTACTTTTTTTCTGCACAGCTAACACATGCTTCTGTCCCATCATGCCAACCACAGAGGCCATGGCCAACTAGTGGTTTCCTGCTGTGCCAGCTGCAGTATCATTTGCACAACACGCAAGCAAAAATAATCAAACTCAAATGAACAGTTAATTTAGGGTAAAATAAGCAGAGAAAATGATTGTTTTTGCTTTAGAGGGTCACGCAATGACTTAAAGCCATCCTCACAGCTGCTGCATTTGGCAGCCATGACACTACAGTTATGTGACATGTGCATGGATGGTACTAAACACAGTGTGTGTGTGTATCTTGCTAATGCAGAGGGCTGATGCATACGCGATCCTTTCCTAGTACCCTTGCCAACCGGAATACCATCGAGAGCGCAGGCTGCTCCTCAGCTTTCTTCCCAATTCATACAAGATTTCCAGTCAGCTTCTGCCCTTCAGGCAGTCCTCCCAACTGAAAGCACATCATCGGTGTGGCTCACCAAGTTTACCTCATGAAAAGCAGAGGCAATCGGACTAGAAAGATGACAGTTTTTGAGCCCCTTTTATGTGCTCAGTGAACTGATCCCAGCTGGGCCTTCAGAAGGAGTGCCAACAGTTGGGACGAACAGACCGAACAGACTTCCTGCTCCTGGTTGGTTTTCTCAAAAGTCCTATTTTACTGGAGGCGCCTGTGGATGGAGTTCAGGTGAGGATGAGAGTGGGCTGAGACTTGGTGAGACACCAACACTCAAAACAGCCTTCAAAAGGTTCCTAGATGGCTGAATGGCAACACGGGCTGTACTGGATGGCAACGGAATCCATGCTTCCTCTGCATGCAGGAATAAATTAACTCCTTCAGGAGAGGAGGCTGAGGCAGGGAGGAAAATTGGAGAGAAACAAAAAAAAAATCTACAAATGCACACATAAATTTAACCAATCATATGAAAATGTCCTTCTGAAGAAGGGTCACCAGAAGTAAAATGTTAACTCTGCTTTCTTTGCACAAATGCTGCCCAAACTGCTGAGTTCCGCCAACAAACTCTGTTCAAGATTTCCACAACTGTGGTTCTTCATTTTATCTCCGTATCTACCTCGTCAAGTCCCATAAGAATCTTATATGTTTCAAAAAGGTTGCCTCGCATTCTTTTACATTCCAATGCGTACAGGTCCAACCTACTCAACCTCTCCTCGTAAGACAGTGTCTCTGTACAGAGTATAAGGCACAAGCAAAAATTTACATGTAATTCAAGACACTAAAATGGGACAGAAAGCAACAAACACTTAACGCCCAACAGATAAGTGATTAAATAGTGGCATGTAAAAACATTCCCCACGAGTCTTTGAGAAGACAATACTGACTTGTTATGCTCAATGTCTTAAATATTGCATGTTACATCCAAAGCAAAAACCTACTCTTGAAATAATTGGAATAAATTGCTGGAATTCTCACTCACCAAAGCTGAAGCTCCAGAACTCCTGTGAGGGTCCCTTGATATCGACGTAACCGCCATATACATACATCTGTGCCTCAAACACCACAGCAGTGTGTCCCTTCCTATTTTTGGGTACCTGTTTCTGAAGAAACAGAAGGTAATCATTGTTAATTGTATGACCACTATTTTTCAGTCATCCGACGCACTGTGATGTGGTAGAAAAGGCAGATAACCAATAAGCTTACACCTTGGAAGACAGGATCATTACATGAATTGAAAAGATTAGCAGGGCTAAAGAGAAAAGGTAGCGAGTAGAATTAAGTAGGGTGCTCTTTCAGAAAGCTGGAATAGGCACAATGGGCCAGTTTCCTTTCTCCCATATTCATTCAATAATTAAATATGGCTTCTGTCATCCTTCCCACATGAGGCACACAAGTGTGACTCTGGATGAACCACTTACAGCTTTGAAAATGACATGGTTTATTGAAGGCTTGGAACTTATGGCTAAGCAGACTATTTGGCAAACATGAGATTATGAATGGAAATGGAAATGGAAATGGAAATGTGACAGGATTCCAGATGCCCAGGTTAATCCATAGAATGTGGAAACAGGCTGTTCAGCCCAGTAAGTCCACACTGACTCTCCAAAGAGAATTCCACCTAGACTCACCACCCCTACCCTATCTTTGTAACCCTGCATTTCCCACGGCTAATCCACCTAATTTACACATCCCTGGAGACTATGGGCAATTTAGCGTGGCCAGTCTACCTCGCCTGCTCATCTTCGGACTGTGGGAGGAAACTGGAGCACCCGGAGGAAACCCACGCAGACACAGGGAGAAGGTGCAAACTCCACACAGTTGTCCGAGGCTGGGATCAAACCTGGGTCCCTGTTGCTATGAGACAGCGATACTAACCACTTAGCACCGTGTCACCCCTGTTTTGTAATGTTTTTATAACATTTTGTTCACGTCATGTCGGCATTGCTGGTTGGTCTCAATATTTGTTGACTATCCCTGTTGTCCTTGAGAAGGTGGCAGTGAGCTTGAGCCCTAGCAGTTCATTTGCTATAGGTAGACCTATAATGACGTTAGGGAGGGAGCACCAGGATTTTGATTCAGTGACATTGAAAAAATGGCGAAATATTTCCAAATCAGAAGGCAACAGTGGCTTGGAGAGAATTTGTAGGTGGTGGTGTTTCTATCGAACTGCTGCCCTTCTAGATGGCAGTGGCCATGGTCTTAGAAGCCTTGATAATTTTCTGCAGTGCATCCTGTAGAAAGTGGCAACAGTGTAGACTGAGCGTTGGTGGAGGGAGTGAATGTTTGTGGGTGCAGTGCCAATCCAGTGGGCTGCTTTGCACTGAATGGTGTCATGTTTCTTAGAGCTGCACTTATCCAGGGAAATAGGGAATATTTCAGCACACTCTTTGCTTGTGCCTTGTTGCTGGTGGGCAAGCTATGTGCGTTCAGGAAGTGAGTTACTCACTACAATAGCTGTAGCCTCTGACCTGCACTTGTAACCACTGTATTTATATGGCTCGTCTAGTTTAGTATCTGGTCAATGGTAACCTCCAGGGTGTTAATAGTGGGGGATTCAGTGATGGTAATATGAATATCAAGGGGCAATGGTTAGATTGATAAGAAAGTCCCTTATTGGAGATGGTCATTACCTGACATTTATGTGGCATAACTGCTACTTACTATGAAGACATGGGTTCAAATCCCATGTCAGCAGCTGGCCGAATTTTAAATGCAACTTGTTTCATCTGGAATCCAAAGCTGTATTAGTAACAGTGATCATAAAAACACCATCAATTGTAAAAGCTCATCTTGTTCACTAAACCCCTGAAGGTGAGGAAATCTCCAAATTGACTTAGTCTGGTCGAGATCAGACTCCAGATCCATACCAATGCCCTTTGAAAAGGCCTTGGCAAGCCACTCTGTTCAATGCTATATAGGGAAAGGAAACAAATGCTGGCCTTGCCAGTGAAGCCATCTTCCCATGAAAGAATAAAGAAAGCAGACAACAACTGGAACTAGCTGAGTGGGCATCACGGTCAGCATGGAGCAGTTTTGGGCTGAAGGGCCTGTTTCCATACTGTATGACTCTATGACTCTATTATGCTTCCATTCAAAAAAAGAACACCGAGATCCCTCTGTTCCACACAACACCGTAATCACTCTCCATTTAAATGTAGCACTTTCCTATTCTTTGTGCCATATTTTAATCTCATTTTCCCATGTAAAATACTCCATTTGCCAATTTTTGCCTACTTATTTAAATTATCCTTTTGCAGACTACTTGTGTTCTGTTTGCAACTCTCTGTCCTGACTTTGGGTAGCCTGAATCTTTACCAAATCACTGACATTCCTGCTCAGCAACTCTCCTATTCACTGCTTCTTCCACTTGCAAATTCCCTCTTCTGAACACTCCGTGAGCGAGGGCTCAGAAGAGGGTAAGCAAGAGAGGGAGGGGAGGGAGGGAGAGAGGGAGAAAGTGATTGAGAAGGGCTGCCAGTCAGTGTCGTGGAGAGAAGCGGAGAGTGAGAGGGAGATGATGATCGGGAGAGGGGTGATGAGCGAGAAGGTCAGTTTGCAGACTTGAGACAGTGAGCGGGAATGTTGGCAAGAATAGCTGCCAGTCAAGGTGCCATGCAGCCAAGTGGAGAGTGAGAGGAAGGTTTGGGGAAATAACTCCACAAGAGGCTGGTATCCCATCACCAAGTCACATTTTATTTACACATGCACATTACTTGACACTAGTCTGGCTTCCTCAGAGGTAGTTCTCAGAGTTAACAGATCTTCTGACAATCCTGTTTACATCTATCAGCTCTGGCTCCCTGATTAATAGCCCCCATCAGGGAACTCAGATTCAATGTGGTCCACCTGGCTGACTTTGTTACAATCACTACATCTCTCCCCCTTACCAAATCCCAGGACGTAGGCCTTTCTCTTGTAGCCGGTCCTGGGGCGTTTTCGCACTGGGTCTGCTTCCTTGGACTCAGCCTCAGATATGGATGGTTTGTAGTGGACTGTAGCACATCTCTCGTGCCTGGCAATCTTGGAAGAAATTCATCCTCTTCTTCAGGTGGTAAAGGTGTCAAGGCTGCGACACCTGCCATGTCCATCTCAGACTCCGAGGTTCCTTCAACACCAGACGGAGGTGGGGTGGAGGGAGAACCCACAGGTTCTGACAGGCAGTGTATGCTCTGCTCCTGGCCCATTTGCGAGTTTTCAGCTTTCACGTGGTCCACGTGCTTGTTCAGAGCCGCCTCACCTACCCGAACTTTATACGTCACAGGACACGATCTCGCGTTGACCGTGCCTCTTACCCATGCAGAGCCATTGGCACCAAACTTCATCTGCTGAAGTAAACGGCCAGTGTTGTGTCTAGCATTGGTATTCCTGATGCCATTTCACCATCGCCCCTCCAACCCCACGGGTCTAGGAATACCACCACATGCAAGTTTCCCTCCAAGTCACTACCTTGCTGACTTGGAAATATATCGCCTTTCCTTCGCTATCATTTGGTGAAGATCCTGAATTTCCCTCCCTAATAGCATCGTGGGTGTACCTACAGCATATGGATTGCAACAGTTCAATGGCGGCAGCTGATGACCACTTTAAGGTCAACCAGGGATGGGGCAATAAATACTGGTCAAGCCAGTGATGCTACATCCCCATTAGCGAATTAAAAAGAGAGTTGAGGAATGTGCTCAACAGAAGCACTCAAAAATATGCAAGTTATGACAAGATGGATAGTGACAGATTGGTTCCATGGTTTGCTTAGATAAATGACAAATGAACGCACATTTAAGATTTTAAGAAAGCGAAGCAATCAAATTGAAAGGCAGAAAACAATCCAGCACACAAAGAATGCAGAATTCTTTTTGCAAAGCACTGTTGAAGAAAAGCACAGGAATACTCTGAAAAGGGGCAACTAGGATGTCTGAACAAGTGCAAAACTGAGGTTGTGGAAAGTGAGTAGGTGAATGGGTGTGGACTGTATGATTCGCGTAAAGACATTGCCATAAATGATTGGTGAAATGGCCTGTTAAGTGCTGCAATTCTACTATTCAACCAAGCAAAATATAAAGGATTAGCATTTACATGGCACCCTTTGTGACCACTGGATGCTCTAAAGCATTTTACAACCAATAAAGTCCTTTTCTGAAGGGTAGTCACTACTGTAATGCAGGAAATATGACAGTCAAAATGCACATAGCAGCTAACGCTCAGAAACAGCAATGTGATAAAAACTAGGCTTTTTTTTAAAAAAAGATGTGATTATGGATTAAATATTGACTAGAAATTGAGAGAACCCGTTTGCCCTTCTTCGTAATTGTGCCATGGGCCTTCTTTGTTGATAGATGGCAGACTGATTTAGCTTCTGTTTGGAAAATAAATGTAAATATCAGCACTCTCCCTCACACAGAACGAACAGCTTTTCTTACCGTGACTTCACTTGAAAATGTCTGGTGCCACCAAGTCCATCTCTCACCATCTGTTAAAAATAAAATCTTTGTTTAAATCCAATATGATGTGCAACTACTTGTGTGAACCACAAGATGGTAGTTCATGGAGTTTATTAGTCAGAAAACAAAAGTCTTTTATTAAAATGGCCAACAGAAAAATGTCAAATTGAAGAAAACAAGATTCCGCAAGTTCTTGGGATTCAAAGCACTCTTAAATACAATCTTGTGGAATTCCCCAAGAGGTTAGAATGCTTAACTTCTGTTTTCTCTTTATGTTTACATACACGCATATAATATTAAAACAGTGGATTATACTGGGAGAGACCACTTTCCATTAATAGTGCTGCTAGGATAACACAAGTTTTATAGGATTAAGCACATATGTCACTTTGATCATTATTTCAATCACTGCAACATCTCAAAGAAGTTACTCTGACAAAAGCACAGAATTACCCTGTGGCTAGTTTGTCATCGACCCTTCGCTAGGGATCTTAATCCTTTCCCAATCACTGCAGAAGAACACCATATGGTTACAAACCCAGAAGAATTCTCTCTTTGTTTTTGTCACACGAATCATACCCCACTGAAAGATGATACGTGCTTCTGAAGATTCAATTATTCAATAGTATTTATTTAAACTGTAAAGCAGACCTTTTAGAATCCACACAATAGCAGATATTGGGGTATTTTGTAGATTCATATTCACGCACGATGCCAAGTTGCTGACTACAACAACTTGCTCTGACTGAGATGCCCCAATGTGTTTTAATCAGGGAAGGGGGATGGTCATCACTTTACTTTTGAACTTCACTTTGTTCTTTGCATTCCAGTTTTTAAGAAAATTCTTGAATGGGATGTCGGCATTACTGGCTAGACCAATATTTATTGCCCATAATTAATTTCACTCGAGAAGGTAGTGGTAGTGGTAAGCTACCTACTTGAACCGTTCCAGTTGAAAGGGGAGGAAGGTGAACTACCGTGCTCGTAGGAAGGGAATTCCAGCATTGCGAACCATTCCCACAGATCTTCTGACCTTATCGTTCTGGATGTTGGAGGTCAGAGATTTGGAAAGTACAGTCTAAAGCAGCCTTAGTGAATTTCTGCCATGCATCTTTTAGATGCTATACCCTGCTGCTAATTCTTGTCAGTGGTGGAGGGGGCCAAAGTTGAAGGTATTAACTGGGGTGCCAATCAAGCAGTCTAGTTTGGCCGAGATGGTGATGTGCTTCTCGGTTGTTGGTGGAGTTGCACTCATCCAGGCAAGTTGGCAGGGGGAGGGGGGGGGGTGCGCGGGAGAGGGAATGTGGAATTCCATCACACTCCTGACTTGTGCCTTTCAGAGAGTAGACAGCTTTTGGGGAGTCTGGTGAGCTATTCAACACAGAATTCCTCATCTCTGACCTGCTGTTACACCTACAGTATTTATATGACTGGTGCTGTTCAGTTTTTAATTAAATTACAATATTGTTGAATTGATATTTACGGAATGTAATTTCACTAATTAAAGCTAGAATCAGTATGCAAGCATCCATGAAAATGGTATTTCTAATGAAACAAAAATATTTTACTCATTTTTTCCCCCCCCCATATTTTAGTATCAATACTTGGCACAGCTGAGTATGGTCACCCAGCAGCTGTAGTAGAGGATTAGCATTTAAAAGGATGAATTCAAATGCCAACATGGCAAATAGAATCTAGTAGCAGGTGACCATGGATGCTGCTGGATTGGCCCAAACATCCAACTTGCCACTTATCCCACTGACTTTGCTTCCCCATTCAGGGCAGCAGTATGGTGGCTCAGTGGTTAGCACTGTTGCCTCACAGCACAGGGACCCAGGTTCAATTCCACCTGTGGGCATCTGTCTGTGTAGAGTTTGCACGTTCTCTCGGTGTCTGCATGGGTTTCCTCTCAGTCCACAGATGTGCAGGTTAGGTGAATTGCCCAAACTAAATTACCCATAGTGTCCAGGGATGTATAGGCTAGTTGGATTGCGATGGGAAATGCAGAGTTATAGGGATAAGGTAGGGGTTGGCTCCAGGTGGGATTCTCTTTGGAACGGCAGTGTGGACTCAATAGGCTGAATAGTTTGCACACTGTAGGGATTCTATTTAAATGGGTCATATTTGATTTGCATATTAATTACACCTAACCACGTCGGATCTTTGGTTAACTCACAAAACCCTTGCCTATCAGAGGCCACATCAATCAGATGTGAAATTTTTGGGGAAGACTGTTCCTAATTTCTACTATCAGACTGAGCACTGCTGTCAGATATTGTCTAAGCTGCAAATAACACTAATCCCTTAAATTTCCATTTTCCCCATGTCCATAATAATAACCTGAGCAAGTGACCCCAATTTTTATTTGCCAAAGGACAGGCTCTGTCGGACTGAGGGTTGGTTAGCACAGCAGCCTGGATGGCCGGTGGTCATGCAGAGTGACACCAACAGTGTGGGTTCAAGTCCTGTATCTGCTCAGTTTACCATGAAGGGCCATGTATTCTCAACCTCTTCCTTCTCGGCCTGGTTCGGCCACATCTGGAGTATTGTGTCCAGTTCTGGTCACCTCATTACAGGAAAGATGTGGAAGTGTTAGAAAAGGTGCAGAGGAGATTTACCAGGATGTTGCCTGGAATGGAGGGAAGGTCTTACGGGGAAAGGTTGAGAGCGCTAGGGCTTTTCACTTTAGAACGACAAAGGATGAGAGGTGACTTGATAGAGGTGTACAAAATGATCAGAGGTATAGATAGAGTAGACAGCCAGAGACTTTTTCCTGCGGTGGAGGTAGCTTTTACGAGGGGACATAGTTTTAAAGTGAAAGGAGGTAGATTTCGGGGAGACGTCAGAGGTAGGGGCGTGGAATGCATTGCTAGAGAGGGTAGTGGAGTCGGCCTCATGAGGGGCATTTAAGCGGCTTAAGGCAGCGGTGGAGGTTAGATAGGCCTTAGGTTTAAGGTAAAAGTTCAGCACAACATTGTGGGCTGAAGGGCCTGTACTGTTCTATGTTCTCCTAAGGTATGGTGACCTTCAGGTGAAACCATCTCCACTCTCCATCAGCCCTGTGGTCCTCTGGGACTAAGGCAACTTTACCTTTCCTCTTGGAATGGATTTATCACTTCAATTTGTCTCAAATTTAAGAGAAACATATGCTTGCTCGGAATGTCTGGCAGTAGTTACTGCTCAAATACTCCCAAATAGTAATGAGGTTATGGGACTCATGTCACTTAACTCTTAGACACCCTCTGTTTGTATTTTATTTGTAAATGGAATGATGAAAGTTTAACTATATTCAATAATAACTTCAAGCATTCATCATTCTACTGTGCAATTCTCTGCAACTTAAGATAGAAAAATAAACTCTCAGGAAAACATAAACTGAATTAAACGTGAAACTGGCATTTTATTTGGAACTTGGCCAACCAAGCAGGGAGGAAGTGATGCCTCAAGAGTGAAGAGCTGCAGTTATTATTAGAAACCTGTCCCTTGTGTTGATGGGACATGATGTTAGATAGTATTAGGAATAGGAGGCTGACTGGCTGTTACATCTAGAATTCTCATGCAACTGAGCCTAGACTTAAAACGGATATGCTCAGGAAGGCTTTAAGTGTTGTTGACAGAAAATAAAACAGTGAACCCCAAAGTTCTTCCAAGGCCCAAATGTAGAGACGTGATTGGGGTTCATTGGAAGAGAGTTCTAAGTTGCATTTATCAACCCAGATCTGGCAATGTCATAGAATCATACAGCCCTTTTGCCTATCGAGTCTGTGCCAACCTATCTACACCAATCCCACTTCCCAGCACGTGGCCCGTAACCTTGAATGTTACGACATTTCAAGTGCTCATCCAAGTACTCTTTCAGACACATATTCCCCTCCCCACCCTGGTCCACACTTCCTTCACCCCCAACACCTCCCCACAGCCCTACGGCACCTTCCCCTGTAACCGGCGAAGGTGCAACATCCGCCCATTTACCTCCTCCCTCCCCAGTATCCAAGGGCCCAAACATGCCTTCCAGGTGAAGCAACACTTCACCTGCACTTCCCAGAATCTAGTCTACTGCATTCACTGCTCACAATGTGGTCTCCTCAACGTTGGGGAAATGAAGCGTAGACTTGGTGACCGCTTCGCAGAACATCTACGTTCTGCTCACAAAAAAGACCCTGAACTACCTGTTGCCTGCCACTTCAACGCACCACCCTGCTCCCTGGACAACATCTGTGCCTCTGGCTTGCTGCAGTGTTCCAGCGAAGCCCACGCAAGCCCTCCGGACTCAATATTGAGTTCAATAATTTTAGGGCCTAAACTCTCCCATGTCCCAGCCCCCTACCTCACACACCAGGCCTCGTTACCACACAGCCTGCCATTACACACCCCCTGTTGTTAGTCACTAACAGTCCCTAACATTATTCACCCTCCTAGCCTGATCGTTTGCAACTCCTTTGTCTGTCCAACTGTCTCTCTCTCTTTGGGCTCTATCCTATCGTTTACACCCTACCCCACCCACCTTCCTAATTTCCGCATATAAACTGACGTTTTCCCAGCCACCATCAGTTCTGAGGAAGGGTCACCGGACCTGAAACGTTAACTTTGTTTTCTCCTTCACAGATGCTGCCAGACCTGCTGAGCTTTTCCAGCAACTTTGTTTTTGTTCCTGATTTACAGCATCCGCAGTCCTTTCAGTTTTTACTCTTTAAAGGTTGTGAGGTTTCCTGCCTTTACTACCTTCTCAGGCAGTGCATTTCAGATTCCCACCGTCCTCTGCGTGAAACATCTTGTCCTTAAATCCCTTCTAAACCCCCTGCCTTTTACTTAAAATTAGCTCTCTAGATACTGACACTTTAAACCAGGGGAATAGCTGCTTTTTATTCACTCTTTCAATACCTGTCATCATCTTATACAGCTCAAACAGAAAGCGAACAACCCAAGCTTATTCAGTCTCTTTTCCTGACTAAAACTCTGTCCCAGACAATATCCTGGTTAATCTCCTCTGCACATCCTTCAGTGCAATCACATCCTTACACATGAAGTCGACATTGGCCCATAAGCCTATATACTGTTCCTGACTGCTACCAAATACTTACCTAGCCAATTGACTTGTATTGTGCAGGAAAAAAAAATTCTCAAGAGAATGTTGACTTCTTTGGAAAATGTAAAATTAAAATACTTGATTGCCAATTTATAGATCAGATAGGCGATAAAATAGATTCCACATGAGTCAAACACTTAATAGCTGTAAAACCATCAGTGGTATGGTTTCGGTACTTTCAGCTATCCATGTGCGTGCAAGGTGATTTAACAACTGTAAGGAAAACTGTGATTAAACAAAAAACAGGTTCCTCATTTATTACAGACAAATTGCAGCTACTGTGAAGTCCTGAATGTTGCTAAATCTAATTGGTAGATTGATTCCATCTAGTTTCAAATGGCTTATAGCTCCACTCTTGTACCTTTCCTCCAATTTCTGATTCCAAACTATACTCCCCCTTCCTCCAGGTCAGTGCAAAATATTCTATAACCTAATGAGCATTTTTCTGTAAGATCTCTAATTAGTTGGATCTTCAGGTATGATCTTACTCTGCCCTCTTGAATATAAAGACTGAGAGGATAAGGGCCAAACACACTTGTATCACAACTACTTGCAATACATTCCTCTTACCAATATCGTAGATCCAGAGAGGTGTTTTCCCTTGAGTATATGCAGAGTCCACCATTCCGCCAAACACATAGATCATTCCCTTCCAAATCAAAACACAGAAGACTTCAAAGCTACAATAATATACAAGTTAATAAAAATTGTTTCAGAAGTTAACTGCCCCTTCAAAATACAAACAACTCTTGTCAAGGTTGAGAGATCTGGTCAAGAAAATAAGGTATGTCACCCTGTCATATAACATGAAGTAGTCACAAATAAAATAACTATTGATCTTCTGTGAAAGAGCAGTGCATTTAGTCTCATTTCCCTATTCTTACCCCAAGTCTCCCTAAATTTCTCCTTTGCAAACATATCCAATTCACTTTTGCAAAAGTTACTACCGAACCTACTTTGACCACATTTTTGGGAACTCCATTTCAAATTATTGCAGATCAAAACTTGCTACATTACAAGACTTCACCTAATCTACCCCCGACTGTAATTGTGAGGTGTGAGGATTGAGAACAAGGGCACAAATTTAAGGCCACGGGGGAAGATCTGGAATGTACTGCCTAACACCAGCCTGCTTCTGTGATATAACATTTCTATGATTCTGTGAATTTTTTGCCAATTTTCTTAAACACATGCCCTCGGGCTATCAAGCCCACAGTGCTTCAAGCCCCATCTACTCTGTCAAGTCTCTTATGATTTTGAATGCCTCCACTATATCTTGCCTTAACCCAAGGAGAACAACTGCAGCTTTTCTAATCTCTCCACATGGCTAAAGTCTCTCATCTTGACACCACTGTGGTAAAATCTACCCTGCATCCTTAAGGTTCAGATCCCAAAATCAATATTGCATTTGAGACAATACTCCAGCTGAGAATAAACCAGCGCTTTTGAACTCTTGGTATAACTTTCAGAGAAAGTAGGAACTGCAGATGCTGGAGAATCTGAGATAACAAGGTGTAGAACTGGATGAACACAGCAGGCCAAGCAACATTAGAGGAGCAGGAAGGCTGACGTTTTGGGCCTAGACCCTTTTCCAGAAAAGATTTTTCTGAAGAAGGGTCTAGGCCCGAAACATCAGCCTTCCTGCTCCTCTGATGCTGCTTGGCCTGCTGTGTTCATCCAGCTCTCCATCTTGTTATCTCTGGTATAACTTCCTTCTGGTTCAGAGTATTGAAATGAAATTATATTGCTGGCTATCAAAAAGCAATTTCTTATCAACAATAACTAAATAGGGAAAGATTACAGAGCCCTGAAATAAGAGGGCTCTGGTGTCCTAAACCATGAATCACAAAGGTTAGTATGCAGGTACAGCAACTAATTAGGAAATGTTACAGTTTATTTCAAGGGGAATTGAACACAAAAGTAGGGAGGTTATTCTTCAGTGATATAGGGCATTGGTGAAATCACATCTTATCTACCATGTACGGTATTACTCACCTTATTTAATTAAGGATGTAAATGCTTTGGAAGCTATTATCCAGAGGCTGCAGAGAGATAAAGAGAGATAGAAAGGTACAAGCTGCTGACATCATTGCCTGGGGAGACATTAGCTGGAGGCTGCAGAAAGATGGAGAAAGAGCTGGGAGTACTAGGTCGCCGACATCGCTAACAGGAGGTACTGAATGCAAAGGTGCTGACACGAAGAAGGAAGCAGCTAGTGAACTAAAAATGACCTGCACCCAGGTTTGAGCCGACTTAAACTGGTTTGAATTAACTAAGCTCTGCAAAAAGTAAGAAAGATGAGGTAATGCAAAAGCCTAATTTGGACGAGAAATAATGAAGTAATGCTACCCAAGTCTCTGGGTCAGGGCCAGTAAGGTAAAGGCATGCGATAAGTGAATTAGCTTGAGCCAACGGGAAGAAGACAGCACGACATGAGAGAGATAAGAGAAAGAATAAAAAGACGACCCTTGATGCATGCAGCTAGTGAAAACTCCAGACAGCAAACATGGCAGAAGCAGACCCTATGTCAAGGATATGATGATGACATAGAGTGCAGCACCTGGCCAGCATTAGCCCTTGTCAGCAGCAGCTATACTGATCGGGTATTAGCTTTTATATTCTGTGACTACTTGCGGAGTGACAGAGAACTCTGGTGGATAAATAAGTAGGTCATAGTGCAGTTTGTGGGAAAATATACATGGTCTAGTTTTGTGATAAAAACATTTAAGCAACACGTCTTGTTAAATACACCAATAAAGTAATTTGTGAAGTTATGAGAATTGACTCTTCTCTGTATAAGCCGATAACCGGAGCCAGTGTTCTACGAGCTCCCGATAGCAAAGCAGTTTAGAAAAGCTTCACCAAACTTAACCTGAAATAGGTGGATTGTCTTATGAGGAAAGGTTGGACATGCTAGACTTGTATTCTGTGGAATTTAGACAAGTAAGAGGGGTCTTGTTAGGGTGGATGTGGCGAAGACGTTTCCTTTTATGAGAGAATCTAGAACTATGGGTCACTCCTTAAAAATAAAGGAGTCACCCATTTAAAACTAAATGATGCAAGTTCTTTTTGCATGAGCCAGAGGCACATGAGATTCTTGGTAAGCAAGGAAGCAAAAAGGTTATTGGGAGTTCGCAGGAATGTGGATTTGGGATTATAATCAGATCAGCTGGGATCTTACTAAATGGTGGAGCAGGCTCAAGAGCTGAATAGCCTACTCGCTCCTAATTTGTACGTTCATAAATACTCACACTGTGCAACAACTTGCTCATTTTGAGATTTCTATGACAATGATGATGATAATGGCAAACACTTGCTATCTCTGCTATTAATCATCCCACGTGAGTAATTTCTTTTGTGACCATCCCAAGTGCAACCCACTTTCAGTTGACCTGTATAAATGATCAACAGCTGATGAGATATTCCTTTCTTTAAGGAAGTATGTCTGCCTGGAGTCATTACCTCCTCATGCCATCAGAGGCAAGCATGTTGTTATCAAACTGCTTAACAAACAATAGGTACAAAACCATGTCTGCCACTCTGCTGCTGCTGGGAAAAAAAGAAGTTATTTCAGAACACAGTGTATATATTTTAAACTAGCCACCTAAGACTTTGATAGCCCACACTGAGAGCACCCAATCTGACCTAACATTTGTTCTGCTTGCAACGAAAGCATTGGATCACAACTACTGGATTCTTACTTCATGGGCTACCAACGACGGCTCCTCCAATTCTTCTGGCGCAGTTCCAGCTGCCCTGTCCAACTCCTCCCAGTCATTCAGAGCTGAAAAATACAGAGATATCAACCATATGGCAACACATTTCTGTTGAGAGGAGGATGATTTTATAAAACTGCATGGGAATTTTAGGGATCAAATGCCAGGAGAGGAAGGGATCAGTCACATCTGGACAATGCAAGAGAGAAGGGATTAAAACGAGTTTAAAAGTTAGCAGAGGATTATCTTGTATCTAAGAATTATTCCTACCAGGCACCTTGTTAAATAAATTTATATTGTTGACAGCATAAGGATGGAGAGAAACATACCAGGACTGTTGCAGGCTATTTCCAGATGCAAGTCAGATAATTGATTACAAATGTTATAGAGCTATGCAAAAAAACTGAAATAACAGGACTGTGATCAAAGTGTAAGTTTGAAGTTAATAGAAAATTATAATAGAATTGAAAAAAATACTGGTATTTTAGGTAGCTGCATTATGACAGTGTTAATACAATGTGGAGCTGGAGGAACACAGCAGGCCAAGCATCATCAGAGGAGCAGTATAGTTAACATTTCAGGTCCGGACACTTCAGAAATGCGAGGGGGAAGGGAGCTGGCAAATAAATGGAGAGAGGAGGCGGGGGGGTGCTGCGGAAGGTAGGTGGGATGGTGATAGGTGAGTGCAGGTAGGGAGTGGTGGGGATTGGTCAGTGGGATGGGTGGGACGGATAGGTGGGAGAGATGGACAGGTTGTGTCAGGTCAAGGAGCTGGGGATGAGAGGGAGGGTTGGACAAGAGAAGGTCCCTCTGGAAAGATCTCAGTGGATCTCTCTCCCGCTGCAACCCTCTGGTAATCTCCACCGCCCTGAAACTCTTTGACCACATACTTAAACTAACCAGTATTACAAGGTTGTTGACTTGCTCAACGAGCTGGCTTGTTTTTGTTCAGACATTTCGTCACCACGCTAGGTGACATCATTAATGGAGCCTCCGATGAAGTGATATTATTCTACTCCACTTGGAGTTTATACTGTCTGATCCGTTATGGTGAGTGGTGTCATTTCTGGTTTTGATCTGTATGGGTTTGTATATGGGGTCTAATTCTATATGTTTGTTGATTGAAGTATGGGTGGAGAACCATATCTCTAGGAATTCCCACGTGTATCTGTGTTTGACTTGGGCTACTATGGTTATTTTGTCCCAGTTAAATTGATGGCCTTCATTGTCTGAATATATAAATATTAATTCATTGTGCTGTTTTGCTGCTAGCTGATGTTCATGTATTCTGATGGTTAGTTTCCTTCCTGTCTGACCAATGTAATGTTTGTGGCAGTCGTTGCATGGTATTTTGTAAACCACATTCAATCTGCATGTTGTGGGAATGGGGTCTTTAATCCTTGTAAGTGTTTGTCGTACAGTGGCTGTGGGCTTGTGGGCCACCATGATTCATAGTGGTCTTAGGAGTCTTGTTGTCAGTTCTGATATGTTCCTGATGTAGGGCAGTGTGATCAGTGTGTTAGGGCGTACTGTGTCCTCCTGTTTTTGTCTGTTATGTAGGCATCTGTCGATGAAGTTGCCAAACTTTGCCCACTAGCCAAAGAAACAATGGCCACGTTACTAGAGGAAACAGCAACGCAGACCAACAGCTCCATCAGCAAGGACAACATACTTAAATTACTAGACCTCTGCCTCACCACACGCTTCGTCTTTAGTGGTCAAATATACAACAGATCAATGGTACACCAATGGGGTCAGCTAACTCAGGACTCCTCGCAGAAGCAGTCAAGCAAAGACTAGAACACACCACCCTTCCCCACATTCAACCTAAACTGTGGATCCGATACATAGACGACACATTTGTCATTATTAAATGCAACAAATTAGAAGAGAACCCACCACCTCATGAACAGTGTATTCACAGGGAGTAAATTCACAAGGGAAGAAGAAAACGTTTCTGAAGAAGGGTCTAGACGCGAAACATCAGCTTTCCTGCTCCTCTGATGCTGCTTGGCCTGCGGTGTTCATCCAGCTCTACATCTTGTTATCTCAATCAACTTCCCTGTCTGGTTGTTAAAGTAGAGCGATTGACAAACGGGCAGTTCCAAACCTCAGTATACAGAAAAGCAACCCGTACAGATCAAATCCTCAACTTCCACAGCAACTACCCCAAAGTCCACAAACAAAACTGCATTAGGACACTATTTAAATGGGCCATGACACACTGCAACACTCCAGAACTACACCGGGAACAGGAAGAACACTTATACAAGGTCCATAGAACATAGAACATAACAGTGCAGTACAGGCCCTTCGGCCCTCGATGTTGCGCCGACCTGTGAAACCAATGTGAAGCCCATCTAACCTACACTATTCCATTATCATCCATATGTTTATCCAGTGACCATTTAAATGCCCTTAAAGTGGGCGAGTCTACTATTTTTGCAGGCAGGGCATTCCACGCCCTTACTACTCTGAGTAAAGAACCTACCTCTGACATCCGTCCTATATCTATCACCCCTCAATTTAAAGCTATGTCCCCTCGTGCTAGCCATCACCATCCGAGGAAAAAGGCTCCCACAGTCCACCCTATCTAATCCTCTGATCATCTGATCATCTAGTATGTCTCTATTAAGTCACCTCTTAACCTTCTTCACTTTAAACGGATATCCCCACAACTTCATCCACAGATGCAAAAGTTTTGAAGAGTGAAAACACAATTCCAAGCTACAATCACTCTTTAAATGCACAGAAGACCAATGAACCAAAACCAAACACGTGAAGAAATGCCACAAGGCAACAGAAGTATCATTTAGTGAAGCTCCTTTGATAAGGATGAAGTGCAGGGCTCCTTTGAAAATCCACAGTAACTATGATTAAAAGGTTCAAAACCAAGTGTAAGAATTGAACCACATTTTAGGTGTTCTTATTTTTATGCTCTTCGCATCACTAGCAGTGCACCTGCAACATTAAAACAGCTTAATCATTCTCCTCACAAATTACTCAATCCGGCAGAACTTTTGAAATCTGCCCACAACACTGCAATGTGAGGCTCACAGAGACAGAGCTAAACATCACACCTTGTACCCTGCAGGGTACAACAATTTCCTGTGCTGCCCCCTGGTTACTATAATGAGGCAACGCCCAAATGGGGAAACACCTGTAATGTCCATGACAGCCATGCCAAAGTGAACTTAAGAAGCAGAATCCTTTTTAAAAAAAAAATGTATTTTTGTCTGACTATACGGAAATCACTTACTTTAATACTTCTAAAATGTGCAAATTTACTAAATTGTGCCATGCTTCAAGAAGGCTTTAACGCCTTACTACTTTAGGACATTTGGACAATTACTTCAATCTCTTGCTCTGTAAATATACATTTTCCAGCTTGCCTTCTGTAATTAAATGAATTTGCCAAACACATTTCCAGAAAGCAGGCCTATATTAACACTATGTCCATTTCTTCTTTTCAGTATAAAGTTAATACATTGAAGCGTTGTAGTTTGTTTGGAGAGTTAGCCATGGCTCAGTGAGCCACACTCTTGCTTCCAAATCATAAGGTTCTGGGTTCAGGTCCCACTCTAGAAATGAGCACAAGGCACCTCTGTGCTACACTGTTCTACACTGTGAGGTGATGCACTTGCGGAGGGTTATTAAGGAAAAATATTACACTATGAATGGTAAGACCCTAAAAAATATTGAAGTTCAGGGAGACATTGGTGTACTTATCCACAAATTCCTGAAGGTAGATTGAAATAACTCCACAGAGACTGGTATCCCATCACCAAGTCACCCTTTATACGTGTATAGTATTTGACCCTGGTCTGGTTTCACCCGAGACTTCACCTGACGAAGTAGCAGCGCTTCGAAAGCTAATGATTTCAATTAAACCTGTTGGACTATAACCTGGTGTCGTGTGACTTCAGACCTTGAAAGGAAGTTGATTCTCAAACTCCTGTAACATTTAAGCAGTGCTTGGGTATTTACTGGTGATCTGAGCCTGAAAATGGAAATAGTGCAGTCAAATAATTGTTGACTGGTATGGACATGATGGGCCAAATGGTCTCCTTTTGTATGGTAAACGTCTGAGTCATTCATTACAAAAAATTAATAAATATTTTTAGCATTTGATCACTTAATTCTGCAAAGGAAAATTTCTGCCAAAAAACTCTTTATATTTGTAAATATCCCAAATTGTATTCTATAATACAACAGCCTGTTGTGACTCAGCTCTGTGCAGTCAGAGTACTTATTGCTAAATATTTGCTGCATTTTAGCTAGATTCAGGGTTACCTGTAATTGAATGTAATAAACTAAGTGAGACATTTAAAAGTTTCATTTTCCAGGGCAAAAGCATGTCAAAAATTACACAAGATCCTGAAGAACAGGAATTTCTCATCTTGTCCCAGTCATCAAAAAGCAGATTCTGCACTTATTTATTTCATTGCCTTTTATGAAAACTCTTGGATGTAGAATCTCTACACAGTTTTGCATTCATGACTGCTCATTGTACACAAAGCACTTTGAGCCAATTTGACAGTGTAGTAAGATTATATTTTAGTGTAATCATTTCATTTTTCCTGTCTATGCATAAGTATTTTAATTAGCCCATCATTCCAAATCTACAAATTCCCAATTTTTAAAACAGCAATGTTTGCATTTATCTTTATAATACTTTTGAAGCATAGTCATGGATGTAAAGAAGGAAACCTGGCAGCCAATTTTGGCACGCAGCAAGTTCCCATGAACAACAACATGATAAAGGGCAGATGATACCTTTTTCTGAAGTTGATCAAGGGATAAAGTTTGGCCTTGAGACTGGAGACTGAGCCTTTCTTAAAAATAGTGCTGCGGGATGTTTTGCATTGGTCCAAGCAGGCAGTTGCAGTTAATCATTCATTTTATTTCAATCTATCTTCAGGGATTTGTGGATAAGCACACCAATGTCCCCCCAAACATCAATATTTTTAAGGTCTTACCATTTATATTGTAATCCTGTTCCTTGATAACCCTCCGCAAGTGCATCACCTCACACACCTTACATAAATTTTGAGTCATCCACAAACTTCTCGTTGGAACCCTCTATAATCAAGTCAAAACCATTGATGTAGACCACAAGCAGCAAGGGCCCCAGCACCGAGGCCTATCGACCTCCAATGGAATCAGATATCCAGTCACAGAAACATCCCTGTACCGTCACCTTCTGCTTCCTACCTCTCAGTCAATTTTGAATCCAAAGTACAACATTATCTTGCCCATGGGATCTTACTTTCTTGACCAGTTTGCCATGATAGACCTTATCAAAAGCCTTGCCAAAGTCCATGTAGACCACAAACACATAATCGTCATCAACACTCTTGGTTATCACCTCAAAAATTCAATCCAATTTGTCAAACATGACCCTCCCTTAGCAAATCCAATGTTGACTACCTCATTGATCCATGTCTATCCAAATGTAGATTAAACTCTGTCCCTCAATTTTTTAAAATTGCTTCCTCATAATCGAGATTGGATGGACTGGTCTGTAATGTCTTGGTTTATCCTTTCCTTTCTAAAAAAAAAAAAATGGGAGGATACTAGTAGTTTTCCAGTCCTTGGATGGACAGAAATTTGTTAAGTGTGTAAAAGAAAATTTTCTCATTCAATATGTGGATGTACCTACCAGAGAAGGAGCAAAACTTGACTTTCTCTTGGGAAATAAGGCAGGGCAAGTGACGGAGGTGTCAGGGGAGCACTTTGGTGCAAGTGATCATAATTCTATTAGTTTTGAAAGAGTTATGGAAAAGGATAGACCTGATCTGATCTAAAAGTTAAATTTATAAAATTGGAGTAAGACCAATTTTGACAGTATTAGGCATGAACTTTCAAACGTTACTTGGGGGAGGCTATTTTGCAGGTAAAGGGACAGTTGCTATCCAGGGTTCTCTGTTCTTGGTCACACCCTTTGTCTTTACAGGAGTAGATTTGCCCCTGTATTCTTGCTATGTGCTCCTGAATACCTCTCACTGCTCTGACACAGTTTTATCCATAAGTAGCTACTCCTGGTCCAAATGGGTCAAATGGTGTCTCACCTTTGCAAAACTAGCCTTTCCGCAATTTAGAACTTGTATTCCTGGCCCATCTTTAACCTTTTCCATAACTATCCTCAACGAGCCCTATCACCAAAACGGTCCCCTTTTGATACGTCCGGGCTCATTTCTGAATATTAGATCCAGAAATGCCCATCCCTGTTGGGCTTTCTACATACTGGCTAACCAAAAAAAAATAAGAATTTTGTTTCCTCCCTCCGTTGAACACTAAAACCACCCTAGTTTAGTTTGGGTATTTAAAAAAACCCTCCTTTTACTGCCTTATTATTCTTAGATTGCATTTTTGATTTTCTATTTCTCCCAGACTGCAGGTCTCTAGTACACACCCAACCATGGTTGTACCTTTTCTGTTTTTTACTTCTACCTATATGGCCTCATTTGATGATCCTTCCAAGATATCATCCCTTCTTATTGCTATAATTGATTTCTTGATGAATATTGCAACCCCACCTCTCCTTCTCTCCCGCTCTCCAACTTGCCCGAATATCCTATAACCAGGAGCTGTAACCAGTAGACTGCTAATCCTGTCCATCTTTCAGCCAAGTCCCCGTCATAACTATGATAACATGCTGTCTTTGTCTATGCGTCCTCTCAGCTCATCTATCTTATTTCTCAGGCTCATTGATTAAAACATATTCCACTTCACCTTGTTAAACTCACTTCTCATCTAGTCTATGTTTCATCTGCCTTCCAGACTCATTTACTTAAGTTTTAACTTCTTATTCCACCTCGACCTGTCACTTAAACTACTTGTCAGGATTCAAGCACCCGCTTATCTAGTTTAAATCCATCTCAACAGCATCAGCAAATCTCTCCATGAGGATGGTGGCCCCACTCCTGTTCAGATATAACTTGCACAGTTTTTACGTTCCCTAGAAATGATCCCTATGCCTCAGCAATCTAAAGCTTTCCCTCCTGCACCTTCTCTACACCCATGCATTTATCTGCTCTATCCTTCGATTCCCATGGTGTGGAGGTGCCGGTGCCAGTGTTGGACTGGGGTAGACAAAGTCAGAAGTCACACAACACCAGGTTATAGTCCAACAAGTTTATTTGGAATCACACAGGCTTTCAGAGCACAGCCCCTTTGTCAGATGCGCTAGGTTCCAGACATTCACCACCCTCTGTGTGAAAAAATTGCCCCTTTGGACCCTTCTGTATCACTCCCCTCTCACCTTAAACTTAGCCCTCTAGTTTTAAACTCCCCTACCATGGGGAAAAGCTGTTGGCTATCTCTACCTTATCTACGCCCCTCACGATTTTACAGACCTTAGTCTCCTACATTCCAGGGGAAAACATCTTGGCCTATCCAGCCTCTCCTTACAACTCAAACCTTCCACCCTAGCATCTTAGTAAATCTTTTCTGCATTTTCTAATTTAATGATATCCATTTTATAGTAGGGCGACCAGAACTGCACACAGTACTCCAAATGTGGCCTCACCAACGTCCCATATAACGGCAACAAGATGTCCCAACTCTTACACTCAGTGCTTTGACCAATGAAAATAAGCATACCGAAAACCTTCTTCACCACCCTGTCTACCTGTGACTCCACTTTCAAGGAGCTATGAACCTGTACACCTAGATCTTGCTGTTCAATGATACTCCCAGGACTCTACAATTGACTTTGTAAAATCCTGCCCTGTTTTGACCCACCAAAACACAACAGCTTGCATCTATCTCAATTAAACTTCATCTGCCATTCTTGAGTCCACTGGCCTGGTTGATTAAGATCTTGCTGCATTCCCAGATAACCTTCTTCACTGTCCATTATACCACCAATGTTGTAGTCATCCACAAACTTAGTTACCATACCTCCCGAATTCTCATCCAAATCATTTATACAAATGATGAACAACAACGGACCTAGCACCAATCCCTGTGGCACACCACTGGTCACAGGCCTCCAGTCTGAAAACCAACCCTCCACCACCACCCTCTGTCTTTTACTGTCGAGCCAATTTTGTATCCAATTGGCTAGCTCTCCCTGGATCCCATGATACCTTGCAGTACCTTTTCAAAGGCCTTGCTAAAGTCCACGTAAGCAATATCTACCGCACTGCCCTCATCTACTTGCTTGGTCACCCCTTCAAAAAAAACTCAAATTCGTTTAACATGATTTTGCAAGCACAAAGCCATGCTGACTATCCCAAATGAGTCCTTGCTTCTCCAACTGCCTCTCAGAATCCATCTAACAACTTAACCCACCACAGACATTAGGATCCCAGTCAGTAGATCCCAGGCATTTCCTTGCAGCCTTTCTTAAATAATGGCACATTAGCCACCCTCCGATCTTCAGGCACTTCACCTTGCTCAATAAGTTCACCCAAACTTTACCACAATTTTTACTCGTATTGAGGAATCTAATTTGCTGACCTTTGTTGCACTACTTTGTGTGCGCGTGCACAGCAGACAGTGAGACAGACAGTCTGTGTGACTGCCCATGTGTTTATGTGTCAGTGTGTGTGTGTGTCTATCCATTCGTGTGTTAGTCCCTTGGAGCAAGGAAGACACTTGCTAACATGGGGAGGCTGTTGCGCTGCAGCTGCTGCACAACTCTGGATGACAAGGAAACTTTCCTGCTCTTGCTGCCCACCAAAGTTATACCAGAAGGATTTACAGATCGATAACCAACCCGTTTGGCCATGTTACAGCACAGCTTCAACATTAACTCTTGAGATGAGGCTCCGACTTGAGTTTCCGACCCAGATGGAGAGATGCTATGGTGCCACTAGATCACGGCCTCTTTCAGCATCTGGATGCCTTTCTCATCGTTTGCCATTTCCCACTTCACTATCTTTTAGCGAAAATACTATTTCATTTTCCATCATGAGTAACCCAGCTCTCCATGTCTCCGATCATTCAGGAGAGTATCACCCTTACAACCTTTCCCAAAAATCTCTTTCTTTTAGCCTGACTGGTCACATCCCACTTAAGACTGGGAATTCAACCTTCAGCAGCTTTAATAATATGCAATATATCTATCACCTGTCTCTGTGGCACAATAGGTTAGCATGTTCAACTGTTAACTGGAAAGTTGGTGGCTGAAGACCAACCAGAGGTGAAAGATGTCCTTACTTTAGGGCAGCACGGTGGCTCAGTGGTTAGCACTGCTGCCTCACAGCACCAGGGACTTAGGTTTGATGCTACCCTCGGGCAATGTCTGTGTGGAGTTTGCACATTCTCCGTGTCTGCGTGGGTTTCCTCTGGGTGCTCTGGTTTCCTCCCACAGTCGAAACATGTGCGGGTTAGGTGGATTGGTCATGCTAAACTGCCCCATATTGGCCATGGATGTGTAGGTTAGATGTGTTAGCCATGGGAAATACTTGGGGGGGGGTGGAAAATGGGTCTGTGTGTGATGCCCTTTGGAGGGTCGGTGTGGACTTCTTGGGCTGAATGGCCTGTTTCCACACTGTAGGGATTCTATGATTCTACTGTTTAAGAACCCATTCACCACACACCACTCCATCCACGCCAAACTCCCAGCCTGACTTCTAGTGCTTGTGTAGAACTAGATACAAGTCAATTCTTATTTAGATGCTGTAGCTAAAGTTTGATGACAGTGACAGGTCAAAGACAATAAGAGTATTTAAGAGAACCAAATCAAACAAAAACCTGACAATCTTACCAACGTTGTACCTCCAAAAATCCTTCATCCCAGTTTGCCTCCGACCACCATAAAGATACATGTATCCCTCGCAGATGCAACAGCCATGCTTGTATCGCTCCAGTGGTGCTGCTTTGGACTGGGAGAGCTGCCGCCACACAGGTTGACCAATTCCCTTTTGCATAACGCTCCTGTCACAACCAGATCATTTCCCAAATAGATGATAGATGAGGAACCACCATGATGCTTACCCACGGAATACAGCGCTCACGTGCTAGATGAAACCATCTGGGTAAATGTCACAGAATGTTCTAGAACAAAAACATCAATGTATCATTCAATTTTGATCTGGCATGTATGACACAAATTGAAACTTACAAACGTTAACCCAAAACAGAAAATGCTGGTGTGAAACTTTTATCTGCGCTTGTCAAGAATGCTCAAGAAGAAATGCAACAGGGAACCAATAGATTTTTATACACTGATAGAAACTTTGAATTACAAAAACAATATGATCACAATCAAATACATCTAAATTGCATATCAGTTTAACGACACATTTTCTACATTTTGACAGCTGAAAGTTCCTTAAGTTGTCGCCATGCTGTGAAGACGACTCAATGTATTGTCATTACTTGAGATTATAGTTTCAAAGGTGGAGGGGAAATGGGTTGCTTTAATTCTGTAAAGTTCTGATTTGTTCTTTTTTCAAAGAAGTTCAAAAAGTCATTTTGAACAATGAGCTGAAGATAGCATTTCCAAGAAATCATGTGACTTTAGCTAAATGAATAGAAAGCCCTCTGGAAAACCAATTGCTAAGGTGTTTGCTGACCTAAGTTTTACAACCCAGTGAGCAAGAGCACACACGATAGAGAACGTGCGCGAGAGCAAATGCAGAAGAGCGAGCATGAGAAGGAGCCAGTCACAAGTTTATCCAGATAAAATAACATCTGTAATAGCAGAGATGCTGTTAGTTTAGCAGTCTCCAAAATAGCCAGGGGAGAATGGAGGAAGTCCTGAGTTATTAAGAAGAAAACACAAGAAACTGAAGGTCGTGATAGTAATGAGAGGAGCAGACACAAGTTTGAGGAACCCATGTCCTATTGCAATAATGAGCAGAATAGCTGCTTGTTTAAAAGGTCTCAAGGAGAGATGTGAATTTAAGTAACCAGTATTGAATGAATGCACAGAACTTTGCCAAAAGAAATGAAATCAATTTACAGCCGTCTGTTCTGAGGAAGGGTCACCAGACCAGAAATGTTAACTCTTTTTTTTTCTTCACCGATGCTGCCAGACCTGCTGAGCTTTTCCAGCACTTTGTTTTATTCCAAACTACCTGTTTTTGAATCAACACCTTCCATTCTATTTCAAAAGTGTTATTCATATACACAATATATATTTATGAACACAACACATGGTTCAGTTCAATCCATGGCCTCTTAAATGGCAAAGATTTCTTAAAAATGGGGTTGAGGGTGTGGGGGAGGCAAAAAGAAAATCAAAAGACTGAGATTAAGAAATCATTTTGAGCCTCTCAATATGGAGGCAGAAAGGGAACATATAATTTTTCACCACTTGTGCAGTTCAGATGCAAATTCTAATGGCCAAAAAAAGACATTGTGGTGGGATTTCATCTGGTATGGAAACCAAGCTAGACTAGTTAATCGTCTGAAGGGCAGATGCAATTTGGAAATTGTGATTATTCCTCAGAACAATTACTTAGAACATGAAACAGCCTGGTCTTTTTCATCTCAGCTCCATTTAAGCTATGCATGCATCATCTCTGAACTCAAGTGAACAAGAGTAGATTGTATTGACTTTCTTTCGATTTCTACTCCAGTTTGAAGGACAGCCCTGCTTCACCGTGACTTCAACCAAAAGAATTCCACACGCAAGTGTTGCACATTTGTCCCAGCCAGTCCTAATTCATGAATGAAAGCAAGTATCAACAGTTTCTAGAGAAAGAAAACAGCATCATGTAAAAGAAAATGCATTTATATAGCACTTTTCACAATCTCAGGGTGCTTCAGATTATTTTCCAGCTCACTGGTCTATTTTCAAATTATAGTCAATGCTGTATTGTTGGAAATGCAAAGTCTTAACACCAAGGCCCTTCAATAATATAAATGACCAGATAATATCATTTGCTATTGGAGGGATAAATATTGGCCAGGACTTGAGAGAGAGAGAGAACTTCTCTGCTCCTCAAATAGTGCCGTGGGATGCTTTACATTCATTCGAGAGCACGTACAGGACCACAGTTCCAAATTGCATCTGAAAGCTGACCCTGGCAACAGTCCCTCAGTACTGCAGTGGGCCAACAGAGTGAGTGAGTGCATTCAACTTTCTGGGGTGGGTTCTGAACCCACAGCCTTCTGGTTCAGGAAAGAATACCACAACTAGTCACAGCTCATACTTTCATTGCTCAGTAAAAAGCAGTTAAAATAATTTTCTTGTAAAGGAGGAACATCTTGTGGTGCAGTGGGTCATGTCTCTGCCTCGGGGTCAGAAGCTGTGGGTTCAAGTCTAGCCCCAAGGTGTCTAACCCACCCACAGACGGAGCACTAACTTGGAAACTGTTCCAACATATGCCAGTGGCAGACACAGGACACAACAAGAACAGGAGAGTTTCCTAGTCAGCCATCTGCAGAAGGCACCTTACCAAACAGACCCATGATTACCTTTTAATGCACAGCACCCGAAAGAGAGAGAATAGCAGACCATAGAGTACAATTCCTACAGTATGAAAAGCAGGCCACTTGGCTCATCAAGGCCACACTGACCCTCTGAAAAGCATCCCACCCAGATCCAAATCCACAACCCCCCCCTCACCCTATCCCTGTAACCCTGCATTTCCCACGACTAATCCACCTAACCTAGGCATCCCTAGACACATTGGGCAGTTTAGCATGACCAATCCACCTAACCTGCACATCTTTGGACTGGCAGAGGAAACCAGAGCACCCAGAGGAAACCCACGCAGACACGGAGAGAATGTGCAAACTCTAAACAGACAGTTGCCTGAGGGTGGAATCGAACCCTGGTCCCTGGCGTTGTGAGGCAGCAGTGCGCACCACTGTGCCGCCCCAAACCAACATGTTGCAGATTTGTTCAATGCCAAGAATCCTGAAGCTTCAGGAACCGCATTTTAAAAATTCAGAACTATACCCTGTCTCTCCCCAGCCCCTCTGCCCTCAGTAGTTCCTCGTCACCTCCATTATGCTTGCAGGAAAGATTGGCTGATTATAGGCAACCAATCCCACCAGATTTCCATAGAACCCCCATAGTGTGGAAACAGGCCATTCGGCCCAACAAGTCCACACCACCCCTCCGAAGAGCATCCCACCCAGACCCATTCCCCTACCCCTGTATTTTCCATGTCTAACCCAACTAACCTAAACATCCCTGGGCACTATGTGCAATTTAGTATAGCCAATCCACCTACCCTGCACATCTTTGGACTGTGGGAGGAAACCGGAGCACCTGGAGGAAACCCACGCAGACACGGGAAAAATGGGCAAACTCCACACAGACATTCGCCAGAGGCTGGAATCGAACCCGGGTCCCTGGCGCTGCGAGGCAGCAGTGCTAACCACTGAGCCACCGCGCCGCCCTTCCCTCTCTTTTCAACCTCTCTCCAAACCTTCTGGGGGATTTAGCTGTTGGGATAGGTGCAAACCTTGTGGAATTGTCCCAAACTGTCCTCCACAGGCCTCAGAAGCAAGTTTTAAAGGTGGCATTCTTGTTAGTAGTCACAACAAAATTACTCACAGCTCAGCTGTCGACATTAGGAATCACTTCCACATGCAGAAGATGGTAAAAGTTTGGGGCTTGCTAAAGCAAATAGCAAATGATGTTCAATTGTCAATTCTAAGAGTTTTTTCTGATTTCTCAAAAACTTCAGTGTTATGAGGCAAAAATCGGGGGAGCAGGAGTAAATGGAGTTTGGCCACAGATCAATGAACAACAATGCACGATCCTAATGAATGATCAAACCGGTTCGAGAGGCTCAATTGCTTTCCCCTGTTATAATGAAACAAAGAACTGCAGATGCTGGAATCTGAAACAAAAACAAATTGCTGGAGAAATTTAGCCGGTCTGGCAGCATCTGTAGGGGTGAAAGTAGAGTTGACATTTTGAGCCCAGTGACCCTTCTTCAGAAACATTAGCTCTGCTTTCTCTCCACAGACTCACCGAGTTCTTGCAGAAATTTGTTTGTGCTTTCTCCTATTCCTGCGTTATGATGTTTGATATGAATACAGACAAATCCAAATCAGTCAGGACTTATCGCAGATCGGCATACTAAATAATAGGAGCAACGAGCAGAGCTTAATGCTTGGGATACTAATGATGGATGGGAGGATATTGGCAATATTATGAGCAGCCTTTTGGTATCAAGTCAAAAGGTACAGCCACCTTAAAAATGTTTGCAAGTAAGGGGAGGAAATGAGGAAGCACAGGCAGAAGTTTTTTCTGATGAAGGGTCTAGGCCCGAAACGTCAGCCTTCCTGTTCCTATGATGCTGCTTGACCTGCTGTGTTCATCCAGCTCTACACCTTGTTATCTCAGATTCTCCAGCATCTGCAGTTCCTACTATCTCTCATGCACCTCCATGCAGGAGAATGAGAGATGAAAGGAACCACTGTTGATTCATACTCACTGGGTTCCAGTGTTAAAATGATAGATCATACCCTTAGCACTAATGTTAAGGTATTAGCAGGTTTTTTTTTTAAGGTTTGTTGAAATGTTGTGCTGCCCCATCATTCAAGGGGCAAGTTACCCTTCCACATTCACTCGTGCGACAAAGCCAAACAAAATTCTCAGCCTGAGATAGTAAGAACTGCCTATGCTGGAGTCAGAGATAACACAGTGTGGACCTGGAGGAACACAGCAGGCCAGGCAGCACCAGAGGAGCAGGAAAGTTGATGTTTCGGGTCAGGACCCTTCTTGTTCATTTATAACTGCCACATGTTGGTCATGAAACTTAAATACTTAAGGCTGATATACATGTGTTACAAACTTGACAAGCAAACTGCTTTAAGCTGACAAGACTCTACACTTCTGAAGAAGGGTCCAGACCCAAAACGTCAGCTTTCCTGCTCCTCTGATGCTGCTTGGCCTGCTGTGTTCATCCAGCTCTACACCTTGTAATCTAAGGCTCTACATGCCACTGGGGAGTATTTATTTTCCTCCAAGCACACTCTCTCACTCTCTCTGTTCACATTACTGCACCATTTACAGCATTCAAACCAGCAGAATTTCAAGAGGCCTGCCCAAACCCCCACCCAATCCACACTCTTTGACCTTCCCC